GCACAATGGGTAAAGACGGGCCTGCGTGTACATTTTCGACACAAACGTTGTGACAAGCAGCGTGGTGTTAGAATATTGCATTTTTTTAAACTTTGAATTGAATTTATTATTATTTTTAAGACAAAAACGAACTATTGTTGAAAAATATTTATATAGATTTTATTCTAAAGCAATAACGATCGTAATAAAATGTATTGAACTCTCTTTTGAATCGGACGGATATTACATTAATCAATAAGGACGCGACATGGGAGTCATTTTTATTTATAAAAGTTATTTGTTTTTCGCCTTTGGAATAACAGTGATTTCAATATGATTTGATAAAAAATAATAACTACACATATATATTTAAGACATCTTTATTGAAATGAAACTAAAACATTTCCGAACTTATGTACTAAAAGCTCTTAACAATATTGATAAGACTATTTACATATTACGACTCGAATCTCTTCTAACCTCTTACCGTTAGGAAAAAGTGGACAAATGTATGAAAAATATTATTTGCTCGAACATCACTACACAAAGACAGTGGCTAAGCTAAGAGGTATTCTTGTTTCCAATATAAATTTGTCATTTTCATCGTAAAATAATACCCCATAATAATTATTGAATACGCACCTTCATAATGATAATATTAATTACACCAAATATCAGTTACTTGTCTTTTATGTAAACTGATATTTAAATATTATCTTGTCAAACAATCTACCGGGTCTTTTTTATTTCAACCTAAGGTACACATCGCAAGACATTCCAAATTTTCTCAATCAATTTTGAACTATCATCAAATTAAAGCTTAAAATCGATTAGAAAGATGGTGTTGGCGATTGTACTTATATAAAAAAAATGTACATAAAATTCTGACAAAAATATACAACCACGATTAATTCATTAAAACGAAGTATGCGTTACCACTTGCGCAATTTAGTAACATAATAACGTTAGGTATAACAAAAATTGATAGTAAATAGTACACTCGGTACTAAAAAACAATCTGGACTTAACATTATTTTATTTTCGAGTTAAATTTCAATGGGCAGTCTTAAAACTTAATAGATAAACAATATATGAAATCATACTAAAAGTATGTGACAAGTTAAAATAAATACAATATCGTAATAATTTTTATCTCGATCGCGTGATATAGTACGATCGACGCACGAGAAGTCAGTGCCTAATCATTTTAATCTACGGCGGCACATTATCTGTTTAGTATTTATAACTTTTACCGAGTTGTATGTCTTGTTTATCACAAGATCCGCTTTCACATATTAACACATTGTGCATGCAAAATATCGATAAAAAGATAAAGAATATGGATTTTAAATAACTTGCTATGAACTTTTTACAGAAATTGCGACATTTAATCATACATATCAGTTCTTAATTAGTCAATAATTTTTGTAATATCCAAAACGTGCCGTCGACATTTAACATTTTATTTACAAAAAGGTCAACATCAAACTAAAGGGAGTTCCACACGGTTGCAAATCATCGTTCCGACTAGGATCCGTCATACGGGTCACTAAATAACTGGCCAAATTTTCAAAAGTCGGGATTAGTAGACACAAAAATCAACACGATTTTTCTGTGTGACGAAAATGTTGATAAGCAAAAATAGTATTCAGAATTATTTCGTAAGCCACACCGTTAATGTCGAGCGAACGATTTATTGATTCTTACTATTATTTTATTTTTGTCAGTACATTTAATTATTTTCTCCGGACATCTCTGAAATGAATCACGACCATTTGGCAGCCATAGTTCCAACTTGCTTGTCGCCAACTGTCTAAACCACTGTAAACCTTTAGATATAACCTTTCAGACGTCTGTTGGATTCCCACCAAGGTCACTTTTGGGACGCCGGTTTACAATCGTGTGAAATACACTTTAGAGAATTGAAACAATCTCGCTTTATAAATAGAAGCTGAATAAATCTGACCAACTTATAGGTAAATTATTGTTTTAGAAAAGCCTTATATTGCTTGTAAGGTTTTTCTTTAAAAAACAATTCAACAGTTTTGAGAGCATTCGTCTTCTCGCATCTTTGAATCCACCTCATCCTTAAGGTTCTAGGTAGATTACTTGTTATAATTTTTCATTGACTACTCACAATAACTAGGGCATCTTACATACATATAATACAAAATGACATTAACGTCCGTAGAAAGTTTCCCAGAATAAAAATCTCGTTTTCAACACGAGCGAAATGCGACTTTCTTATAGTACTTTTTACAGTTAAAATTGCTGATCATCAGCAATTATGCTAGATACTCATTTAATTGAGCATAACACCTTAAAATCGACTCTTTTCGCTAATTAGAATTAATGACAAGTCTGTCTAATAGTTTGATTAAACTCTAATACGATTTTTAAATAATTCAATTAAATTAGCCAACTTTTATTCCCTCATACCCACTACTTTATATCTTAAGGCTGCATACTCAAAAGGAACGACATAGTGACGCCATGTCTGTCTGCGACTAAGTTAAGAAACTTATTGTACTAAAAGGTTTGTAATTAATATAGGTAATCTTACTTTTAAAACAACATGTTATAGTACCGGTTAAGCAAATAATGAATTACACCATTTGGCAATGGTTAGATGACCTTATAATTAGCTGCTAGTGCGTGATTTTCCCTTGTCTTGGTACGGTAAATAGAAATATAACAAAAAAAAACGATAAGTTGTAACTTAATATATCAACATTATTACTAATTAAGATATTTAGTAAACAAATAATAGGTATATCGACTACAATCGGTCGTTGACCTCCGGGTTAAGACGACTAACATTTGCCATCGTGAAAATATATGGAAATTAAATTTTCCAATAATACGACATTGCACTCTACTCGTAAAATACTTATATATTTTAATTTAAATAAGCCCCAAATCAAAATATATGTTTATATGTTTATATGCTGTAATTTCGATATATACATTAAACCAGACGCATAGAGTATATTATTTAATAGAATAAAAGATATTAATCAGACAAGAACAGAGCCATGTAACGATTTTGCTACAAAATAAAAATAATAAATAAAGTAAGAACACCGGTATCTAGAATTTTGCTATAAAATAAATAGGCAACTGTCTACTACTAACTGATCTGACAGATGCAGAAATTTTCTACCGAAACGACGTCACAATATGGCGCGTCATGTTTTACGTCACGCGATAAGCAGACAAAAAAGAACTCTACTTTAATGGAAGTGACTATCTTATCTTTATTAAGCAAAATATTTATGTTTATTTTGATATAAATGTAAGTTTTGTATAATGAGGAATATCAATGGGACTGTTAAAGTAACTAAAAAACTTCGTGACCGTTGTAGTCTATACTAAGCAATACATCGGCTTTTGTTTCATAAATCGAGCAAACGGTTTTGACGCTACGATTGTTTTAATTTCTGCCCAATTCCCAAATCACATTTTGGTGAGTTATGAAAGCGTCACGTTACTACATTACAACGCGCCGCTCATGGGGTTACGACATTCATGCATTTCAACGGTTTCCCATACACAATTAAATTATCTACGCAACAATATATTAGGGGCCATCCATAAATTACGTCACACGTTAGGAACGAACTGTGCCATTAGAAGAATATTTAGAAGAATTTCTTTAGACAAACATGTGACATGAGGGGGGGGGGGTGTTAAAAAATCATGAGTTTTGTGTGACGTAATTTATGGACGGCCCCTTACTTTTGGTACCGGATGATACACCTAGGGACTACATAATTTCCTTGTTTGTGGATTCGACAATTTAAACAATCACAGCAGCTAGCGAAGACCTCGCGTCCTGCGCCTAGCTCAAAAATTGAATATCTTGAAAATTATACGATACAACGTATCATACAAATATTTTTTGCGTATTCTTCTATTTTTAATAGAGTACACTGTAAGACAAAAATCAAGTCGATGACAATCTTCATAACGTCAGTTTTCATACATTCATTGAGTCATTATAAACGAATCGTCTTTTTCTATTTATCTCCTAGAATACGGGTGTAGACATAGTAGTGTTTAAAAATAAATATTACCGATTATCACACTTATATTTATAATATTGCTTAAACTAATTATGAACGAATATTTTAATGCTCGATGACACGTGACCGCAAACAGCGCGTAACGTAACTTTATGCATACATAGAACGATATTAGTTTCAGAGAGAAGTGACGTCATGCCGACGCCATGACAGAAATGGCGTCTACGCGGAAAATTTTGATAATTAAATTTATTTTTAGATTTTAACTTGTTTTTACTTATATATTTTTTTAGATATATTTCATATCTATCTACAAAATAGAAATATAAAAAAGGTTGTCTACACCTTTATTCGGTTGATTCCATGTTGTTTTCTTTTAGTTTTTCTACTTAGCTAAGGGTCCGTGCAAATATCATATATTTGTCAATTAATAAACCCGCGATGCATCTTTCAATATAAATAATCAGCCTATTAATTGGCTACTTGACAGTTATAACAAATATATATATATATATGTATTGGAAATGGTAACTTATACGTAAACAACAACTATGGAGTATTTTTGGTTTTTTTAATAGTTTCTTCTTAAGTGATACCAAGTGGATTTTTTAAACATTTTTCATTAAGAATATTTTTCAGTGTTATCAAATATCATAAAAAAAATATGTATTCTACTGACGCAAAATTAACTCGCTGTTTATAATCTGTAAACGTCAACGCCTTTGTTGCGAGTACAACCAATACTCATGTTTATTGTAATGTGACGTCTCGGTTCGAAATGTCATGCGAGTGATTATTTTTGCGGAACAATTTATATTTATTAATAAATAAATATAGTGGTTAAATATCAATGACAATTTTAAAATACAGTCAAGTAGCCAATTGACCGAAAACAATGAAACTTATATATCCATTTATTTTAAAAATAAATTAAAGAGGTTCTACTAGACAGACCGGTCATTCCTTCTGTATTATCATCTGTGTTATGATTCCGTCTCATGTGTAGTAGTGGATACTGTGCGTTCTCCGTGGGGGAGACACTATAGTTGATGAGCTGCTCGAATGACCCACTATCAGGTAACCACCAGATGTCACCACTTTCTTCGAGTTTTCTTCATTGTTCATTATCTGTTGGGTAGATACTTAGTGAATAAATAACTTGTAAACTAAAGACATGTAAATAAAAGACACGTTAATAAAAAACCGATACTCGAGATAACCTAGATTGATCTGCCAAGCTCACAGATCAAAAGTTAGACGGAAAATCAGTTATAAATAACAATGCACGAATGTAAATGCAAAATGGCGTCTATCGCGCAGGTATAATGGGATTAACAAGTGAAAACAAAACACTTACACTTAATCTATACCGTAATTTGAGCTGTGCGTTAATACTCGTAGATCGGTTAGTCAGTCAGTCATATTTGCCTTTTATTTATACCAATAATATAAATAGGTGTTCGAACTCTGTTTGTTTATTCGAAGGTAATCTTCAGAAATATTGATCCGTGGTCTAATCGTCCAATTTTAAAATCTATCACAATTGCTTTTGGAACGAATGATGATTTGAATGATATAAATGTCATAGAATTTATGTCGTTTGTCATTTACCAATATCTTTCAAAGTTATAACTATCACTTTGCTTAGACAATTCCGATTAACGTCAAATAAACGGAAAAATTGGCGCAATCGTTCTTGCTATCACATTTCAAATAGTTGTAGCATGAAATATCATACAAATGTCAATTTCAAAGTGATTAGGGTAGATTTTAAAATTAGTAAATTAGGCCACCGATGATAAAAAAAAAATCAGCTTTAATTTACAGCTAGCGTAACATCGTATGCGGATGACATAGGCTATAAATTGCACGGGGGAAGTCACGGGAAAGCCGCTTGTAGTTTGTAAAGATTGATAAACAAACCTGTTTGTTAAGGACAAGGGGAGAAATCTGTGATTGCGTCCCTGGCACCTTGTAAGTGCCGACGCATTTCAGCTTTTGATTACCTGTATTGTCCTTTTCCATATTAACTACAACAAAAAAAAATTATAATTATTTAATTACATCAAAAAAAGAATTGTGGAGATAAGGGATTCTAATCCGAAATTTATATTTGCATTGTACAAAAAAAATATAGATGGCGCCGTTGTTACCAATTAAAATTAAAGATTTTTTTTTATAATTGGCAGACAGTTATCAAATATATAAATGCATGTTATAGTTACATTAACCAAATTTATTTAATAAACAAAAAAATTTTTGTTTTAATGAAATATGCTTAAATAGAATTGTTAATGCAAAATTTGTGAAATACAATAGATTTAATGAAAAGAGAAAAACATTTTGCTTGATGCTAGTACCATATGTATTATAATAGATACACCAAAACTAAATCTATTGTATTTCGTCATTTTGCATTCACAATACTAGTTAAGCATTTTTTATGAAAACCAAATCTATAATTATTATTAATATTAGAATAGGTCATCATCATCATGATTAGCTTATTTACGTCCCTACAGATGTTCAGGCTTCCCTTATGGTTAAGGAGGATGGGCCATAACCCTCCCAAAGCCCAATGCGCATTGGAAGGTTATAACGACTGCAAATGTAGCCGGGACCAAGAGCTTAACGTGCCTGCCAAAGCTCAGTGACTCTAGATTTAAAAAAATCGATTACCCATCCCGTGACCGAACCTTGCGAAAGTTGCTTAAGAACAAAGATCGCGGGCCGCGGCTCTTATACACTACGCCACTAATTAGAATAGGTATCATCGAATAATTATTGATACTCACTGATGATTGAACCAGTCTTTCCAGTTTCCTGTGCGGGACCACGATTAGCAATCTTCCCGCCTACAGTTAAAGTCGGCGTCGTACTAGGGGCCGTTGTACTCTTCTGTGAAAGAAAGCGCAACTTCAATAACGAGAAACTCTGTATAGTCACTGCGTGCAGTGTGTTAGAGACCCTGATTTTGTCACATCACGTTTTTATTACGCTTTTTGATTCGATACAATCTTAAGCAATACATTGAAATTCCGACGTCGATGCGACCGTTAGTTTATTTAAAAAAAAAAAAAACTAAAATCTTGCTTTATTTCAGGATACGAAAATCACAAAAAAAAAGTATGCTCTTTATTCTAAATTTGAATATGTACATAAATTACACTTAGGTATATAATACACAATCTGACATTGTTTGTAGCCTTCTGCTATGAATAGCTATCATTATCCTTCTTTATTTTTTTTATCAAGAGTAATAGCGACATGGCAAAAGACTGTAATCATAGCAAGTACCTCTTTTGGCAGTATTAAATCCAGATGCCAAATCTTATTTGTTATTATTAATATTATATTTTAATCAAAATTAAATTAAAATTAGACTTAGAATTGTCATTGTCACCGTTTGCCATTTTTATTGCCAAATAAATATATACCTTATTGTGATAAAAATATTTTTAAACCCAACGTAAAATTAAATTGGAAAAACTACGGTAAATCACATGCAGGTATAATATTTTACAAAATTAAAACTAAAAAGCAAGAAATAATATCGTCAGTCATATGCTCTAAGAATATCTTTGTAATAAATATTTATAAAAAAATATTATACTTAGCAAGATGAAACTGTTACTTTTATCATTGTTCATATTTTCCTTAAGTCGTCAACTCATCAAACTCCTATGGTTTTTAAAAGCAAATCATTAAAAGAGTCATTTTACAAAAATTAATTCATAAGCAATCATTCAGTAAATTGTTCATATAAAATTCAATGTTTCCCAACCTTATCAAATGTCAAATTGCATAAAGACGCTTATTGTTTACTAGTTATTTGAAGTAAGAAAAAATAGATTGTAACGGTCACATTGACATCGGAGTTTCAGTATACTGCTTAAAATGATATAAATTATCGAGATCTCGAGGTGCCTGGAGCTGGTGGATCAGTATAGCATTGTGAATACAAAATAATAAAAACAATCATAAAGGTTTTCTTAGTATATAAACAAACAATATTTTAATATTTAATTTACTAACAGACATCCTACAACAATGAGGGGAAAGGCTTATTAATGATTAAAAAAACTTACTGGCAGGTTATCCGGTTGCGGCTGTAGTCTACTTTCAGGTGGAGTCCCTATGTTGTTATTATCACCATCCTGAAAACAATATACCAATTTTTAGTTTAAACGAATAAGAACACGTGTTACTCGGACAACTGAAACCACTGTCACACAAATTATAGCTGTGTCATTATAAGCTCACGCAAACATAGCAAGTCGGCAGCGATCCACTAACGGGCGCTCGTACTGTGTCACAATTTGTTAATTGATGGACTTAAATACTTACAACCAGTTGCACAAACGTCTATTAAATTTTAATTAGTTCTTAAAGGCCTCATTAAACCTTAATGGATGTTTGTGCAACTGACCGATAGTCTGGCTATAAATACTGTTAGAATAAAAATAAAATAATTTTTGAATATCGAATGTGTCATGTATATATTATTGTTAATTGTCTTTTCTAGTCTAGTCTAGTCCAGATCTTATTCCGCTGGATTATAGTTTTTGGTCTATTTTAGAGGCCATATTGCCATGATAATTTGGAATTTCCAAAACAATCCTTACGATTGGCAATTAAGAATTTTCCCATGGAAAGAGTACCCTCAACTTTTAAAGAACTGTATTGCAGCCAATGGAGACCTCTAAGAATAATCTATATATTAAACAAACACACTATAATAGTAAAAAAAAGTTACGTTCAATAAAAAAATGTTATTTTCTATGTAAAGTGCGTTTCACATAGCATTAGTGCGTTTACATTTGTTAGCAAATCCATTTCACGCAATTTGTATTTCCAAATATGGAAAAGGCTGCCAATTTGGGAAAGGCTGCCCTCAAGTTTATAACACCAATACTTGAAATGACAAATGGAACTTCTTTTTAATAGAGATTGAATTAATAAAATCGTTTTAATCGAATCAAAATCGGTTTCGGTAAACATTTGACAATTTTTTTATAATACTTTGTATTTTTTTGACTATCTTGTTGCTAAATAAATATTTTTCTTAAATTTTGTTTTATACTTTGACTTAAAAATCGATTTATCTCTATTAGAAATGAACTCCATAATATCGCGTTTTTGTATATATATTATTTCATTACCAAAAATCAAATCCCAAACGTCACCTTACTTACACTATGGGAAAAAGACACAACATTTATGGTAAGACAATGTACATTATTGTTTCCTGAAAAAAAAAAATTGGCAATGCTACTCTCGAAAAAATAAGTACCTGTGTCCTTTGTTGTGTGCATACAGAGAAATGTTGCGACCAGTGAGCACGCTGACACGGATAGTCGCAGTACGAAGTGTTCCAACAGCAGTAGAACTGAGCCTCCTGGTTGCAGTTCGCACACCTAATATACAACAATGATAATTATTACTAACTTACTATAAACAGTAATCCATGGTGCCTATGATTTGATCATTGGCACTCAAAACAATCAATTGCAAGTCATATACCATTATCTTTAAAAAGGCAATAAAATAATGTTTGGAGTTCCCACTTAAATATTTATTTTATTCTGTGTTTAGTATTTGTTGTTATAGCAACAACATAAATACTTAATCTGTGAAAATTTCAATTGTCTTGCTATCACAGGCTGGTAATTCAGGCGCCATTTTTATTTTTTGAGTACGGAACCCTAAAAGCTCAGCAGAGAACTATAAGTTAGTCAAACGAAATTTTGTATTGATGAATGTTATCTTGAAATTATTTGTCAATTGATTTATTTACAAGAACGTTACATAACTCATATATATAAAGCTTATTTATATAATATATAAAGCTTAATTACTCTATATATATAAAAATGAATCCTTATTTCCTTTGGTCACGCCACGTGAACGGCTGGACCGACTGGTCCACACTGGTTCATATATTTTTAACTAAGTCTATCTAATTATTTTTGTTGTGTTTGTTATTGTTAGGAGACAGTTCTTATGAAAGAAAATAATAAGAAAATTGTGTGGAAAAATTAATAATTTAGGAATGTTCAACAGCAATATACAATGATTTCTAATATAACCTTAGTGCTTTGGATAATATATATATATATATATATATATATATATATATATATTTTTAATGTAACCTTATGACGTTTGTCACAGAATTGAAATTCAGAATTAAGACAGGACAACGTCTGTCGGGTCAGCTATATAAAAGATATAACTCACCATTGTTTAGTTTTCGCCGCTTTAACGGCTGATTCTAGATCAGCCTGCGCCGCCACTCGAACTTCGCTCACTAAACGAGCCTTTTCCTTCTCGAACGACGAACGCATCTCAGCAAGCGTCAACTCTGTAAAGAATACACTTATTAAGAAGGGGTATATAAGACAAAAATTTTTAAGATAATCGTGCGATTTTAAGACTCAATATCAAAACCTCTATGTTTATTGCGACGTAAATTTTAGTTTTATTAAATTTTGTGACTTTTTCACTCTCGAAACTACCCTGTTCCGACACCAACAAAAACAAAGTCACAGATTAAAGTATCATATTACCGTGATTGTGTTTCAATTCCTCGAGCTCTTGTCGATGCCGCCATCGGTTTTGCTCGAGTTGTAGTTTAAGGAGCACCATTTCCGCCGCCGGCTCGTCGACCTTCTCTAGTGAATCTTCCAGCAAATTGCGGAAGAAATCCGCCATCTACAACAATATTTTACTTAAGATTTGGCCTAAAGACAATATTTATTTATTACATAAGAAAAAGAAAATTTAATATTGGAAAACGATATGAAATCAACGCGTCAATGTGATGACAGGGACAGGGAGCAACGCTTCCGTTGAAGCCATGTTCCTCAGCACCGAGGAACCGACTTAAGGAGGACAACACTAAGCTCCAACTAATTTAACTCATATCTTTAAGAGGGCGCGCCCACAGAAAATCAGTAACATTAAATGGCTTTTGTACAAAGACATGACGTCCAAATATGCTGTAATTGAATATGACAAAATTACATCATATTTGTAATAGGGTTTGTAATTGCTAAATGATATAAAATTTTCTCGATAGAAAAAAAATCACATAATTCGTTTTCTCCTCGTCATTTTACTCTTTTTTATAGAGAAAATTACAACGCTACAACTAATATAAGTGATTTATTATTATTTCGTGAATAAATAATTTATTATTCCTATAGTTACATTTATACACAGCAGCACATCAGTTTACCACAAATTGTTGATTTTGAGCTCTATCTTTAATTAATCAAGGGTAAAATCAAGTGGGAAAAATTGATAGTTTTGTATAAACTGGCGTGCTGTTGTTAACTGTTGAATTAAACAAAGATTAGTTTGTGAACATAATCTATGTATATGTAGTACACTTAAAACATATACATAAATATATAACTATTATATTTTTGCATGAAATTAATACTGCATTGTGATTTGGTAACTGTACTTATAATAATAGGCTAGTTGACAACTTTTCAAAAACTAGTTAATCCATGGCCTTATAGTCTATTAATCTCAAAATATCAATATTTCAATAAAAACCACACGTTTAATAGTATATTTTGCATTTTATTTAATACCTATTTTCATATTCTGTCAAAACGTTCTAAAGTGTTATGGCGTCTTATGTGACGTCACCTCTTCCTACAACAACAGCTGTTTAGTTATTGTGAGATAAAATTTTACGCGACGCGACGTTTAAAATGAGTTCAAAATTTTATAAAAACTGTGTCGTGCCACTGTGTGTTAGTACGACAGTGAAAACACCAAATAAACTGTTTATTTACGTTCCCCATAAGCCAGAAATACGAAAGAAGTGGTTGCAGCTTGCAAGGCGAGACCCACAGCATTTATCTACAAGTGGGAAATTGTATTTTTGTGAAGATCACTTTGATGTAAGTAGGTTTTATTACAAATTTTAAATATGACAATAGTATTTGATAGCTTTTCACAATTCAATATGAGATATCAATGTCATTAAATAATTAAAGAGCCGTCAATATAACCTGACAATTTAAAACTCAAAAAATTCATGATTATTAGCATGATTACTTCGTAATAAAATTACATTTGAATGTAAATATAAGTAGGTATGAATACATCATTAAATTGTGCACTGAAAATGACTTGAGTTAAATTTCAAATGTAAGTAATTGTGGAATAATAATGCATATTCAATGAAATTAATTTGCACTTATTTATTACAGTTACCAAATGACATGGTGAACTATACTGAGTATCAAATTATGGGACATGTATCACAAATACTCATGAAGCCAGGATGTGTCCCTAGTAAGTTTGATTGTCAACCAGACAGGCGGAAAAGAACTACTTCAACAGAACGGCCCTATATTGTGAAAAAACAAAGAATGATGACTGTCCAAGAATGCTTGAATGAATCAGTAGTACCAGAACAGATCCCCCAGCCCAGTTGTAGTGGAACGCAAAGTACACTTATTGACTATGCTTCTCAAGCCAGCACAGGTACCTTAAAGAGTAAACTAATACACTCATGTCTTAGGTTCTCGTTATTAATTGACATATATTAGTTTTATGTTTATCTTTTTCAGATCCAAATATTGTAGAGGATATGGTAGTTACCCACAAGACAGCGGATAAAGCAATCCAAGTGCTAATTACTCGCAAATTCCGCAGTAAAGCCATTCAAGTCGGCATAAACTCTGTAAATAAAGCAATGTCACCAATAAAATCTACAACTGCATGTGTATCTACGTCCCCTTTTAAAGTTGATCATTCTAAAAAACCAAGGCCTGGATTCAGCAGTAGCAGTGTTTCAAGAAAACTTAAAATACAAGAAGATTCAGACAGTGATGTCTCCTTTTATGCTCCACCTTTAACTAGTTCAGAATCTTCACCTTCAAAACATTCTATACAAACTAAATCTACTTCGGATTGCAGTGAATTCCAAGAATATGAAACAAAACTAGAGTTGGAGAGAACCTTACAGGATACAATTAAAAAGATAAAAAGTGATCCACGATTTTTCATTGGTATTCCTAGAAGTTGTTACTTTTTAATAGATCTAATAATGAAAGAACTGGAATTACCTGAACACTGTATATTATTGTGCTTGAAAAAAATTAGATTAGATACCAAATTTAAAGAATTAGGTATTGATTTTGGCATGACTTCATCAGCTGCTAGCAAGATATTTTTAAAGAACATTCCTAAGATAGCAAGTGTAATGCATCCTTTTATAGTGAAACTTATACCTGAAAATCTATTAAGGACATTGCCTATTTCTTTTAGACACAAATATTACAATGTAGGATGCATAATAGATTGCTTGGAGATAGAAGTCCAGAAACCTTCTAATGCTGTCCACCAAGCTCTTACTTGGTCTGAATATAAAAAAGCTAACACGCTTAAATACCTAATTTCATGCACTCCAAATGGTCTAGTTAGTTACATATCTCCTGGCTTTGGTGGAAGGGCAACTGATACCTGCATTGTAGAATCGTGTGATTTTATTAAAACTTTAAGTAGTGGAATGTGTGTAATGGCCGACAGAGGCTTCAAAAATGTGCAGAAATATTTAGAACAATCAGGTATTCAGTTGGTCCGACCCACATCTGTACAAACAGGAGTCAAGATGACCAAAAAAGAGGCTAAGGAAACCAAACAAATAGCCAGCCTGCGTATACATATAGAAAGAGTCATAAGAAGATTACGTGAATTTTTGATGTTGAAGCCACATGCCTGTATAAATATGAATTTTGTTAAAATCTTTGATGATATTATGATTATTGCATGTGGATTAATTAATATACAAGATTCCCTCATTAAATAAAACTACACAAATATATCATGTTTGGTTTTATTAATATTATTTTATAATGTAAGTAATGTAACTACACTATATTGCTACAACATTTATATAACAAAGGATATATTTGTTCTTTCCAATATTTTATTAAATTATTTTCTATTAGGTCAATTACAAACTCTTCGTTATAAATCACATTCAAAATATCTATTTCTTTATTGCTCTCTGAAAAATCAGCACTAGCCACACAAAAATAACAGTTTTTCTTTCCAGATAAAAACATTTGGATTTGCATTTGTGTATAGAATTTTTTTGTTGGTTCCCCATTTTTTATATAATTAATAAAATTTTTTTTGCTTGATGGACATTTAATTTCAATAATGCCGTCCTCAAAAATACCATCAGGGGATCCGGCAATCACAGGGTACTTTTGGCTTAATAAAAGACCACACTTTCTTATTTTTTTTTGCAGTTTCAATTCTACTGCATCTCTAACTTGGTCTTCCAATTTTCTTCCCCTTTTCATTGCCTTCGTATCGGGAATTTTGCCACCCATAATCAGTGCTATGAGCGTTCCATCGATTGTCTTGCAGCGGCTTACTTCATATGCTCTTGATGCTGTTATTCTACCATATCTCATTTCAAACCATAGTCTACTACAACTCTGTTCCCTGGTTTCTTCCTCGATTTTTTTAATTGATTCATCCATTATCTCTACTTTGGATAAAAATGTGTCACAGTCTTCATCTTTAAACTTTAACACAAGGTTGTGCATCGATAGCATAGCAGAACTTGAAGAGCTTGAACTATATCTTAAAAATTCACATTCTTCAAGACTTCTTTTCCTTCCTTCTTCTAAAAATGTATTGCGAACAGCTGTATTTGATGGCAGAACAGGTTTTCCTTTTGACATTTCCTTGGCTGTAATGAATTTTAAAGTCGTGCCAATCCTGGACAATTTGGATTTCTTCCAGTAACATTCAACTGAAGTACACGAAGGTTCTGCACTCCTGCGATGAACCCACATCAGGAAGGCTATTGCGTGCTTACAACCTCCTAGTGCAGCAACGCAATCGTGACACTCCACTGAGCGAATTACCTCTTCTTCTTCATCTATCACCATTGTCACTGCGTATAGCTTTGCGTGAATTTTATGCTCTGGGCATATCTTACATTTAAGAGTGCAAATCTTCCCATCCCGTTTTAGCTGTACGTAGCTAATGGCGTCGTCACCATATGATGCACGGGAAGACCTGAAACCAAAATCGCTGTTAAATTTTTGCTTTTGGTAAACATCATAACCTAACCTAAAAACGTATTTCAACTCAACAGACACCCTGACCGTTGTTTTTTAAGGATAGATAAGATAATTTTAAATATAACAGCATAATCTAGTAATAAATAAAATAAATACTTACTTAGAAGTCTTAATATTACGAAATTCTGCTGAGCAGAAATCGGTGTTTGACGCAAAAAAAACTCCAAGCATCACGGCATCAATTTCAGGCAAATTTGTACTATTTGCTTTAACAAATCCTTGCTCCATATTAAAAGTTAATAAAAGCACTGTTCTAAATATCTTACAAAAAGAAACGTGTATTATAATTAGAAAATAACTAAAGAAATGAGCAAACATATACGGAATCGAGCAGAATCACAACGATAAGAACTGTCATGAAGAAGTGACGTCATGCGTTTTGATTGGCGTTTGATGTCTCGTGATTGATGTATGTGATTTACCGATTTTATTTCAAGAAAATCTAATTTAATCCTGAATATTTTAATTATTTAATTTGATTTTCATAATAAATAAACCTTCAACAACTATGCATAACAATTATTTTTGAGAATTTAATTTGGTGGCAACTAGCCTATTACCTAGAGGCAAGCGGTACGTAAACACGTAATAGGGCTGCCAAACAATTTAACTATTTTAGCATGCATTTTAATTTTAGCTTATTAGTTTTTTATTGTTAATATTTTACTAAAATTATTTCATTTTCATACCCAATCGAATTTCGCATTAGGATAAAAAAATACGTTTTGGAAAGATAAAATACAGTATTATGTATGATCGTGTTATTATCAATAGAGAATTGTTAGCAAAAACAAAGTCAATATTCTGATTCGATGATTCAGCATAACAATTATTTTGAAAAAAAAAGTCACCCCTTCAATATCTTATTATAACACCTTTTTTACTATTAACCTATGTCGACTTTGCGATAATTTAACAAGAATTATATGTCTTTAGATTAGCATCGGACAAAGACAAGAAAATATACATTGCCAATTCGAAAAGAAGCTATTCCAGATAAGCGTAAGTTGCAAAAATCAACTAATGACGCTTACATGGAATAAAGTTAGAAGAATTGATCATATAATTTGATTTACCATTGATTTTTAAAAACTTATCTTGTGTAATAAAAATTGCTTTTTTAATTCAGAAATACTTCTTTTCCTCAACAATGACCGCACTAAAATGCTCCAAAAAACTCAATTTTCTGTCTGTAGTGGGTTTGGAGAGTGATTTGTTTGCTTGTGGTTTTCTCCAGTTCCCCGTATGAATGAATTCTTTTGCATTATTTGTCTATGTTTTCCTATGTGTACTTATCATGGAGTGTTATGCCAAAAATTTGAACAATAAAAAAAAAGAAATGTATAAAATTTACATTTCGTAGCCAATGTGAGGCAGGTTAGTAGAATCGACAAAGCTACTTTGTATAATGCTAGATTTCCAATTACAATGGGATCCTCATATTGATACCTATGAAGTAGACTGAGTTCTGCAACTTTTATTATTAAGAAATTCAGACACTTGTCAGACTTCGAATCGAGAATATTAGTATATTTTATTATATTTGATAAATTTTCAATCAATTACTGAAAATATTCTTAATGAAAAATGCTTGAAAAACCACTTTGTCCCAGGCACTCTGAGATGGGACTCGAACACATGACCTTTCGCAATCCGAGCAACTGCTCTAACCATTGAGCTACCCAGGACCTAATAGAACTGACCAGTTTTTCGCTACTACATAGCATATTTTCATTAATGTTCAGGCAAGGACAAAGTGAATTCTTTAAGGATTTTTTATCAAGAATATTTGGTATATTTTAGTTATTTTCATAGTGAAATTATAATATACCCCATTGTTGTGAGGTTCTGCTGCTAATATCTAATATGCCGCGCTTCAAAATTTAACCTTCTGTGCAGGAACATCAGAGAACTATACCAGTTATATCTTCTTCATCAGTAATCAATCAATTTAAAACTTACCTTGACCGCGTTCTGGTTGAGTTTGGCAGTGATTGGTCCAGCACTGGAGGGCGTGGGCAAAGCACCAGCCGGCGTTTGTGTATCAAGCGGATTGAGTAACGCCGGCCTCTGCTGTAATCTGGGGGGCTGAATTTACGTATTTTTTTAGTATACATATTATATACATTTTAGCAAGAAGAACTCGACGGCGCAAAGAGGTTAGTATGTTTAATCACTAAATGATGAGGATTTGTCAACTTTAGCTGATAATCGAATAGGTAATCAATTTTACTATCTCGAGCTCTGCTGTGATTTAGGGATCTTAAGCCGTTGGTCTAGGCTGCATTTGTAGTTGTTAGGCACTCGCAAATCTGCACTAGGATCACGTGGTGGTCTGTCTACTCTCAGTTATAATCCTCAAATCAAACCAAACATTAACAGACTCAAGATAAATAAATATCACATATTGATATTTATTATAAATTTTTCGTCAAACAGCAAGCGAGATGGCCATTGGCAGAAAATTTGCGCTACATAATGTGTAGATTCTGATATTTTCTTTGAAATTATTAATTGATTTTTCCTGGTATATAATACTATATGACCAGGAAAAATCTACTATTTTGGCCGAAATTTATGTTTTGTTTGATATAAATTAATAGTTTAAGTAGTTCTATCTATAGGTAAAGCAAAGAACTCACAGAGAAGTACACAAGTTCGGACAAACAGTTATAGATTTTAGACTTTTACCACATAATTGATGGACTTTTGGGGCAATATCAGTTTTTGTTGTAAAAATGTGCACTTATAAGTCCACTGATGCAATGTTATCCAACTAGGGTATCTTATCACACAACAAAAATGAAATAAGCCAAATCTCGTCCGCCAAATCGTTCTCGAGTTTTGCGCCTAGCAACACATTTAGCGATTAATTTTTATTTATATATGTATATAAGATACTCACCTCTCCAGGTGCGGAATTTTCTGTAGTCCTATTGGGTGTCACAACCGATGGTGGGCCCACGGTTGGTATAGAGACTGTGGAGGTCGTCACCACATTTGGACCACTACTGGGCAATACTGCGTTAGTAATAGTGGGCGGGATCACAGGCGTAGACGCCGGCACCAAGACCGGATTCGAAGGTGCTACCACCGGTGTCGGCACTATTGGTACAATGCTGGTAGGCGCTTTACTACGATCCGGTAGACCATTCATCAACGGCTGTGGGATGTCATCCTGTATCAACACCTATCATAAGGGTACAATGCGTATATATGATGAACTCAAGGAATGCTAGCGTATTATCATCATACAACTTGCAATTAGCAGAAATATATAAAATGTTATGACATATTATAACATCGCATACGTTTGTTTGTCCTATTTATATTTACGAATAATTTTACTGAGCATAATGATATTCAAGCACAACATCCTAATGTATAAATTCATAAACTAGTATATGAAATTTGGTTCGCCAGCTTATTTTAATTACAGTTCTAACCTAACGGATTGGTCGATTCTTCATGTCTAGTGAAATTATGCAAATAAAAATTGCTTATGAGATAATAATTCCAAAATATACTGTATCGAAAAAACAAATATGGCGAAGTATCATTATGCTAAAACCAATTTTGTCTACCTATATTATGAATTGCTAAAAAATATAATATCTGGGGGCACAGAACGACGACACCAAACAAAATCAATTTACGATAATTTATAATGGAACGGAGTTAGGACCTGACTCTGCCTCTGATTCACCTACAATCATCATGTATATGATTTGAACAAAACTATAAGAACAATTTGAAATTTTCCGAATTTTCGTTCAACAACAAATAGAATAAGGCCTCAGATGACATGTTAATTTGTACGAGTAGTACAAGCCTAAATATTCAATTATTGTAACTCAGTTTTCATAACATTTTTATAAAAAAAAAACATGTGTAAAGTTCCAAAATGTTTAGTATTGTTATTTATACTCACATCTACACCACCGACAGACATCACGGGTTGTAGACTAAATGTCCACTGTCCGTTAACTGAAGTGATGAGGGGCACCGTGTGAACGTTAGTAGGCATCGGACCTACGCTAGGCAATTGTCCCACACTAGGCATCGGTCCCACGCTAGGCATCTGTCCCACGCTGGGTACTAGGGACAATGCGTTACTGACTGTAGGCATCACCGCGGGGGGCTGTTGTGCTGATGCGGGGGGGACTAGTGGTGACGTCACTGTGTTCACTCCATTGTTACCTGGACATATTGACAAGTGAATATACACCTTATTAAAGTTCGGTCGCTAAACAGAGTATTTCATACGTTGACCTCTGTGTCTACTGGTAGATATCGTACACATTTTAGGTTTCTTTTACTATGACAAAATTGGAATAGTAACGTTTGCGCACGAGTGAAAGATATAGGTATAAAATAGCGGGTTTTATTGTATGAAATACTTTCTTTTCGGCGACCAGACTATAGCAACATTGATGTCACACTACTATCTGCCAAACTCATGGTGAAATGTGAAAAGGCTTAATCAATAACAGAATAAATTCTATTTAGAACGTCAATCAGACGATAAAAAATTAACAAGATTTTTGCTTCAATTTAACAAGAAATAGTGTAGATAATTAAAGTTGAGGAGTGGGGGCTCAACGACATGTGACATTTTAACTCAATGTATGTTGTGGATTGCTATTATTTATTGATAACGCAAAAAAATATGCGTCTTATATTTTTCAATAATCTACCTGGTGGACAGACATATTAAAAAATATATTTATAAATTTTCTGATTATGATATAACTGGCTTTCCGCCAGCGGCTTCGACCGTCTGGTCTTGTATTGTATATATATTTCTTCTTCTTGAATCACTTTATGTATTGATAAAAACCAGATTGAAATCTGTATAGTATAAAGGATCTGAATATAAAGGCGAAATCCACAAGGGCAACGCTAATAATTAAAAAGAAGAAGACACTGGGAAGCAGCTTCTTTTTCACTGTTTATAGAAGATGTTTTAACTTTGACACACACAAACAAACTTATTTAGAAGTGACAACTTAATTACTTACTCGTGTTAGCGATGCTAGTGATGATTCTGGAAACGGCCACGTTGCTCGGTCCATTGGATACTGAAACCGGCGTCATCCGAGTCCCGCGAACCGGGACCGGCGTTACCGGCGGCTGTATAGGAATATACACCATAGAGTTTTTACTGTTCAACTCCGATCTACCGTCGTCCGGCTTCTTAGGCTGAGGAAAAGTTTTCTTCGCCCTAGGCCTCACTTCGGACGGTTTAACACCCACTTTTTTAACTACCACCGGCGGAGTCACTTTGTTTATCCTCACTTCACGTAAACTAGTTGTCGTATTGACCGGTTGTAATCTAAATGCGTTTACAAAGTCCATTTTCTCCATGTGTCTATCCGCATCGTCCACGTCCACCGGTTCCGATTTAATCTCCACCTGTACATCCTTGTTTGCGTTCGCGTTGTCTTTCTTCGCATCCGGTGACGTCATGCGCGCGAACGCTTTAACCCCCACCCGTCCTACGATTGGTTGCTGGTCGTTCTCTTTCCGCAACCTTTGCAGTTTGTTTGCCGTCTCTTTCGCATTACGAACGCTTTCAACGCTCGTAGGACTGAACATACTCGACTCTGTATTTGTGTCTATTGTGATTTCGATTGATTTTGCATTGGTTATTGTCTTCGTTGACGTTGTACTGGTCTTTGTGGCTGTAGTGGATAAACTTCGTACACTACTGATGGTCGGCATGACAGTTATACTGCTGTTAGTTTTAGACTCTCGTGCTATTACAGCTAGACTCGTGTCGTCATCGAACTGGATCTTATCTTTGGCCGTCCTAGGACTAGCCGTAGACTTCGCGGGAGCCTTTTCTATGTGATGTGATGTTGACATAATAGGGTCTTCCTTATTTTCTTTCACGCTTTCAGTGGTGGCAGAATTAACGGTGCTCTTATCGCCCCTCTTCTCAGACGCCTTGTCAGCTTTAGGCGTGATCGACAAACTACTGTTATTCAACGACTTGTTATTTTTCGAACTTCGACGTTTCTGCGCTTTGTCTTTATTGCTAGCTTTTTCTATTGAAATAGACTTATCTAATTTGGTTTGTTTCATTTTCACAGGTGTGATCTTATCACTTTTTGCACTACTAGGTTTGTTTACAACGACAGATCTGTTGGGTTTAGTTGATATTACTAATTTTATAGGTGTTAAAGTCGGTTTTTCTTTTTCGGTTGTGCTGCTGCTTGGTTCGTTATCTTTGCTCTGAATCTTGTTATCTTTCTCTTTGAGCGGTGTTATTTTTGTATCATCTTTTTTGGCATCGACTTGAGTTGACGATTTTTTTACTTCGTCTGCTTTATGGTCAACGGTTTCTATTCGCTTTTTCTTCTCGCTGCTACAACTGTCTATGATTGTGATGACAGCTTCCTCCATTTCTGAACGTCGGCGTTTCCTCGACGTTACTTCTTTGATAGAAGATGCAGGCTTGTCGACCTCCATCGTTTTATCCCTGTGAAGAAGTAAACTTTGCTTGTATGGAAAATAAAAAAATAATAGTTCCAATTTTATCCTCGTGTAACAAAGGATAACAAATAATGTAAATTGCGATATTTATTACGTATACATACTTATCTCCACTAGGCTCTTCTTCTCTAGCTATTTCTGCACCGTCTTCCATTTTTCGGGACGTCTTTGCCGAAACATCTGATACTTCCTCAAATTCGCTTAAATCACTGATATAAAAAAAAAAACAGAAATCGTTAACTAAACCAACTGTGAGATCCATTATATACAATACTAGCTTTCCGCCAGCGGCTTCGCCCGCGTATTCCTTGGGGAACTATTTAGTGGGATATAAAGTGGCCCATATATTCATTCAGGCTTAGAATTACTTAAATAAATCATAAGGTTTTTATATCATGACACGGATATAATCACAATACAAATTTAATAGTAAACAAAGGACTATAGTAACGATTTAATTATCTATACAAACTTTCGCTCCCATTTTAATCCCTTTCTTTGCTTTTTGTTCGGGATAAAATATGTCCACCTATATGATATAACTTCCCGTAGGTGTAATTTTTTTTAAATCGGTCCAATAATTTCTGAGCCTATTCGATGCAAACAAACAATCAAATCAATTACCAAACCCGAGCAAGTACTGCTGTGATTCAGTAATTTAGTATTAAGCAAGAAAAAACATTAATTTAATTAGTCTGTTAATAATTTGTCCACTTACCCATCAATATGGGAGCCTTTAGAACTCTTTGAGTTAGATCGGCTTTTCTCTTTAAAGATACTCGGCGACGCGTTCGAAGATTTATCTTTTAGAGGTGAACGGACTTCCCCCTCGAATGATGGTATCTATAAATTATTCGAGTTCATAATAAATATAGATAATTATGAAAATAAATTTCCTCAATTGATTTTGAACTCTACCAATAGTGAATTAAAGTTTAAAATCAAGTGGAGAAATTTGATAGTTTTGTATAACTCAACGTGCTTGACGGTACAGTCAAGGTCAAAGATATAATAACAAGTAGTTTGACAATATACCTAATAAGTACTCATATAAAGACTCACAAAATTGTATACTTCTAAATGCAAATAAATATGTACACAATGTTGGTAACATAAATGTGTAGTCCATGGGCATTTATATATATATACATATATATATACTAGCTCTCTCCAGCGGCTTCGCTCGCGTGGTCCCTAGGGAAATGTTTAGTGGGATAAAATGTATTCTATTATCTAAGTCAGCTAATATATGTATACCAAATGTCATCAAAATCCGTACAGTAGTTTCGTCCAAACATCCAAACAAAGAAACATTCACTTTTATAATATTAACCCTTCAGCACGCGATCGGCCGAATTCGGCCGGTCACGTGACTATTGCGCCATTCCGTGAAACCCCGCTAGTTCTTCTTATTTTCAGGCAGTTAAAGTCTACTTTAGCGATGACGCATGTGCTTGCATTCGTTTTTTAAATGTGTGGTGTCAGGTTTGAAGGGTTAATAGGATATATAGCATTCGAAAACATAATTATGTGTTCATTTTAGGGTACATTAAATTCTATACAAGTCTCTATTTATATCTTCAGTAAACTGGGCCTGTCTATCAATGATGTTTTGTCTCTTTCATTTAACGTCATACATAAGTCATGCAAAAAATATATTTATAAAGAAATTGTCAATTTTTTGCACTGTGCGCGGTTTCGTATGCCTGTCCCGTCGTCCATGTGTAGGTGCTAAAACAAAATGAAACCAGTCCACCCGGCATTCCGTACTGTCCCAATGCAGATTGGTAGTGCTAAAGTACAGGTATTCTTAATGAATGAAACCCATCTACCCAATATCCGCACTGGGCCAGCCTGATCGTCTTATCTGATGATTAATTGTTTGTACATAGTTTTGATTATCATTGGGTACACGCAATTATATTTATGGTAATATGGTTGTCACAATGGTAATGGGGTACCTATGGATACATATTTATTTCACTTGTCCGTTTACCAAGTAATGTTCAAATTAGTGTATACTTATTTTTATAGTTTTGCATGTTTCCATATTTATGGTAATTTGGATGGTTACACTTTGTGGCAACTTGTGATGTATATACTTGTGGTGTACTAACCATCTTTGACCTTGACTGTACGTAAATAAATGAACAATACAAAATATGTATATGTTTATTATTTTGTGATCTAGTAAAAAGAAGTGTACATAAATAGTTACCATTAAATTGTCATTGACTTTATTAAACTAACGAGGAATCAGTTTCTACTGAAAATTCAATACATTGGTTATTATTTCGATATAGTATTGAAAGTTGAGTCCATTTTGATTCAAATCGATTTAGCATACAATTATGGCTATTTCCATGACATTCATGGAAATAGCCATAATTGTATGCTAAGTACAATTCGGAGTATGTTATCTACATTGAAATAACCGGGAATCAAACTAGGCCAGTCAAAGATGGCCATATCACAAATATTTCAGACAAGCTATTTTTCAGAAATCAACTCTGAATAACAGAATTTTATGCAAGCGAAGATGCAGTGTTTTATAAAAATAAGTTTTCGATCATATCTAGAAATAAATCCCAGAACAAATGAGTACCACTACACTACTACTAATGGAATATGAGATGTATGTAGGAAATTTAAGGTCTAAATATGCCAAAAATAACTAAGATCTCTCATACTAACCATCATCTTAAGCTGTTCCTTCAATTTTGTTGGATCGAATTGCGTCTTGAACGGCGGATACACGAACTTGCCGTATTTCCGCGATATGTTGCGTATATGTTGCTCTGCTTCCTGTTTTATAAATCTAACATCAAAATCGAACCACGAACACTATAAAGACTATATAATGAAAATCGTTTTTTTTTTAATTGCTTAACTGTAAAGCATGCATGTAATATAGCAAACAAAAAGTCAAAACAGCAAATTTAGTTCGGCGCTATAAATTTAATTATTTTTTAGATTCTGATCGCAATCCCTTTCAATCTGACATTAAAATTTTCACTATACCACTAATTGACATGTGAAAGCGAGTGCGTCGTTATGTCACACGAAAGCGTCGTATGCTAATTGCTAACTGCAATCTTTCGACGGGTTTGGGTAAGTTTTATTGTTTCCTGATTATTTAAGTCATCATTCATTCCGAAAGTGAAAGCACAAAATTCTATAAATCGCTATCAAATTCGCAATACTTCTGAAAGGGTTTGCTATAGATATTGAAATTAGACAATGAGCCCATTCTATCAGTGAGAGCGCAAATGTAAAATTATACTATAGGTCATTTTTTAACAGTAATCACCTGTACACTGTCCAGTATATCCTGTCGCTTGGTTCGAAAATTGTTGGGATCCTTCACGGAGAACAGGAAGCAATCTTTAGCGGGCACCCAGGCACGATCGTGGGCGCCGAAGAAACGTACGTCCACTAGTCCAGAGCTGTTCACTGACATACCTTTAGCGGGCCAGTACGGAAAACCTGCAGGAATATCTTTAATAAGGAACCGAGTCTACTGCCTAACAAGGCTCACATCAGTTTCTTTGACATGAACTCTATGTTCAATACTGTATTGATAGATATATTGTGTACATTGAAAACATTGGTTTTAATCAAATGTATTTCAATACAATATTAAAAGATGAGTGCATTTTGATCTAAACCGATGTTAAGGAAACTATCGAGAGTGTAGCGACACAGTAGACCTTAACCATAACATTCCTATGAGACCGTCCACAACTTTATAAGGTAATTTAAACTGCATTCACAGATTTTGGCAAAACTGTGAATGATGAAAAAATGCTGACATAAAAAAGTTTTTTTTTTACTATTATATAATAAGAGAATACTGCTAACCTTTCAACTTTGCCCACAGTAAAATATGAGGTGTGGTACAGACATCTGTAAACCAAGTCGGCTTCAATGCATGCGCAGCCGCATAACATTCGGGGCAAGCTTCTATCTCTCCCATTTCTGCCCGACAAGACCTGACCAATGTCCTCGCCGCTGCTGTTAACTTCGATTGCACTGCAAAATGAACTCTACATTTAGCGTCATACGATACCTATATAAAATGATAATTAAAAAAGAAGCAAAAGCCTTGGCATTCAAAAGCGGTACAGACGGCGCGGGCAAAACGGTTTAATCAAAAAGGTACCACAACCACCCAGACACGATGTAATGTAAACTAGGATCGGTGCATATTTAACAGAGAATGTGTAAGAGTATCAGAGTAAATATATATTAGTACTCTCAACTGATTAACGGGGCCTCAACAGAGTACAATGCAAGTTTGTTTGTTTGCAACGAATAAACTCCAAAACCACTGGACCGATTTTAAAAATTCTTTCACCTACGGCAAGCTACATTATATGCGGTGAACATAGGTTATATTTTATCCCGAAAAACTGCAAATATAAAGGGATGAAAATGGGAGTAGAAGTTTGTATAAGAAATTAAAATTTTACCCTAATAACGATTGATTATTATTGAATTAGTTATTGTAATTATATTTATGTCATAATATGAATATATATCCAAATAAAGAGTTTCCTAGGGACCACGCGGTCGCCGCTGGCGGAAAGCTAGTATTATATATGTATCACTACTGACGTTATGCGATCGATAAAACACGACGGATTTTAGTTAGATATGCACCGACCATCAAAGATAACGAAGACGTGCTCGACTCTAGATCGCATAGATCAAAAATAGTTCTGATATTAAACTCGCACATATTCGGTTCGTTTATGGCTCTATTCGGAACTTTGGACAATAACGAATAATCCCGCCCGCAAGGAAGCATAAGGAGTTGTCAAAATCATAAACGTGGCGCCATTTATGACTGGCCCCCAACAAGATAAATTAGACTATTTGAAAGTAGGCGTGTGCCAAGTTCTTTCGATTTAAAGACTAGATTAATTGAAACAATACGCAGACGTACATTTCAAATGGAATGGTAATTTTAATCTGACCTCGTTTCGCGCACAGCTAGATAAGACCTACGGACGAATTGCTGGCTCTTAACGTTATTTTAATCCAAATCCGAATGCTCTTGTCATCAGAAACCAACTGTATACGACTCAATAATTGATAAACCAAAACGAACCCAATATGTGTACTCAGACTACTAATAAAAAAGTAAAAAAATTCCTTTTACCCCAATACACTACTACATAATTCATTAATATAAAAAACTAATATACCCGACTACCTCATTGCATACAAATCTATGTTAAAACTAAATATAGTAATAGAGTGAGTTTTTAAATTATCTGAGAATAGTTTTACTGACTTGGTCATTAATTGAAATTATATTTATAGATTTTTTTTTTTAATTGATATTGTGTTTTGAATTGAATGTGTAAACAGGGTTCATAATTATCAAGATAATATTTTTGGACAATTATCGTAATAATTATCCGATAAATATCTGAATATTATGCATAATTACTGACAGCAATTTTTAAAAATTATAAAAATTAATCTTAAATTATAAAAATTATACAAACAAAATAAACAAAAAAAATAATTGTTAAATCACATTCAACAAAAATATAAATAAATTTGTCCATCAGAAAAACCATATTTGATAGTTGTTTAAAGATGATTCCCCTCCTATAACAAGTCCTAAAGTAAAAAATGAGTTTGTGTAGTGTTTATTAATTATCAAGATAATTATTGCGAAAATTATCACTCCGAACCCTGTGTGTAAGTATGAAGTTTTGAATGATTCATGTCCATTGTTAGCTGATAAACTATAATTTTAATGCTTACAAGTCCCAGAAGTCAATATTTTAAAATAAAAAAGGTACTTGTAAATTGCTACAGACTGTAAAAATTGGTTTTCCTGAATAAATAAAAAGTCACGGTGTATTTAACTATAAATACTAAACTGCTTAAAAATTATAAATATATAAAAGGTTGGTGAACACTACATACAGATACAATGCGTGTGCATGAATTAAAGTTATCGTCGCCTCTCAGGGAACGAAGCCAACGTCATTTCATTTTGCTAACGTTACTACGTACCAATCTACCATACATATTTTTTTATTTCTTATATTATATCTACGTTGTTTTAAACTTTCATGTTCATCAGAATTATTGCTAAAAATGAGATCGCTACATTGTTTTATGAGTTTCCGATATTTCGTCACTATTACAAGCGCCATGATCACAAAGCAACTGAAGTTTATGCGGGTGGGTGTTACGAGTTTTTGCAGATATATAATTCTACCTGCTTTCGAGTACTTTTACGTTCGATATCCGAGCACTGTTCACTATGTGCAGGTCAGTAATCGTTTAAAAACAAAACGATTAATGGACCTTCAGTTTTATTTATTTACGGCAAGTATAGATGATGTAATTTGACATTGATATAGTCCTAAAAAAGAGACATTTGCAGACACAGTTGCGGACTTGTATAATTACGTAAATTTAATAATAAAAATAACTTTATTTATATAATTTATTAGTAGAGTTTGGTACATTTAAACTTAGACTACAAAATTGTTTACTTTGTTGCACATAGTCTGAATCTTCTATATATATATAACAAGAAATCTGTCTGACTTATACATGAACGCACATCCGAAACTAGTGTACCTAGAAATTTGAAATTCGGTACGGGGTTTCCTTTCATGATGTGAGTGAAAAATAAGAACGAATTTTTAGAAATTCAACCCCTCATGGTGAAATGAGGGGGGGGGGGGGGTGATGTTTATATGGAATTTTATAATTATTGGACTAACAGCCGGTTGCAGAAACTTCCATTAAATAATGACTTAACGTAGCATGTAACCACATTAGGCACTATTGAGTCATTAGTTTGACAGTTTGAAGTTATATTTTTAATAGGTACTTTAGCTTGATTAAAGTGCTCATTATAATACCTTAGTTTATACAAATAAAGGCGTTAATTTTATTAAATTATTGTCCTTTTTCTGGCAATATTATTTAAAGTCGACATTAGTTAACGGGTTGATAAAGATGCTTTGTGCAAAGTCATTAATTTAACGCTTCATTAGCGTTTAGAGTTTCTTTAAGTCAATAGGACATTAAAAACCAGTTGCATAAACATCCATTATAATTCTCATTCGTTTAAAGCGACATTATCCATACATATTTGACATTCATTAGAGCTTTAATGCATCATTAAACCTTAATGGACCTTTGTGCAACTGATCGGTAATGTTCTTTTTCTACATACGACTTTTAGAAGTATATAAATAGGTATGTATATAATGTATAGCACAGGACTACGCGGGCGAAGCCGCTGGCGGAAAGCTATTATAGGATAGAATCACTCTAAATCAGGGAATCCCAAATTTTAAGGGCTCATATCGCTTGGGATTTTAACTGAACCTTATCTTGATTTTGTTAAATTTAGTCACATTTTTTTCTTAGAATTAGACTGTTATAATAAATCTCTGAATGAACACGGAACTCCTGTGACCGCTCTACGGAGCCCCTTTTTAAACGCAGAGGAACCTTAATCCTTAAACAAGGTCTTGCCGACACCCGGCCGTCTTGAAAAGGACAGGCTTAAACGAGGCCGACCTACCTGGTAAAATCAACTGCAAGAACTTTTAGGGGAGGTCCCCTCAGCCATCTACACAACCCTTTAACATCATTATCTGTTCCCTACAAGCACACGCACAGAATCTGATTTAAGTGGGCGCCAACCGTAAAACTATAAAATAAGAATATAAAAAAATTAAAACAGACCAAAACTCTGCTCACATGTGTTGAATATGATGCTGTTGTGGAGTATCCATTGGGCGTCCGCTATGAAGGCCTCGGTGCTGCCGTAATGACCCAAGAGAATGTTCTGCTTCATCAGCGTCAGATCCATAGGATGGACGATGTACTTATCGTAGTCAGGAAAGAGAGCACGATCCACTGGCTTCATGAAAGGTTCAATCTGTAATCACGTTAACATTGTCTTGTAGCTATATTTAAAAACAATTAATACCTACCTTATACTTGAAACATTACTGTTAGTACATGATCAGTGGCATATTTACGCTAAGGTCAAATGGGTGGCAAGCTGAGAGGAGCGGCAAATTTGTTGTTTGTATGATCTTATTATTATTTTCCTTTGTTATCTAATGATCAAGATTATCTTTGAATGATATTTTCAGCTCCTGTAAGCATGTAGCTGGATTTTATTTATAACCAGTAAGTTTTGTTTTTTTATTTAATTTGGAGGATCGTCCCGGGCGACCAACGGCCCAGTGTTTTATTTCTAAAAAACCATAACTGTTTACTATAACAAATTTTGTTTTACACATTATTTCAGTTTGTAGTATGGTCAAAGAAATCTACAATCAAAGCAGATAAAAAAAAATCTACTATATTTATATTTTACTTTTTTGTAAAGTTATTATATAAAATATATATAACTTAAAATATATGTTTTCAAATAAAGCCCGATTTTGAAAAATTATGGTCAAATATGTATTTCTGTCATAAAACTTACAGCATAAAATTTGTGCAAAAATTTACCTTAACACAAACACCATAGCTAATAGCAGGATAAAATAAAAAACATGCTGAGTGCACCTTATTAAGCGCCTTATTCTATAAATATATAAAAAAGCACTTATAACAACAATATGCATTATGAACTGTTTTAAAAGGACACTTTCATAGTGTTGTCACTTCTATGGCCATAAGGGTTCGATTCTCAATCAGGCTAATGTAGAATACTTATACATGCTTTAATCGGGCGCCCTATTTAAAATCCCTAATTTTGCAATCGACTTTGAACAAAGAAAGAGCCATATAAGCTGTTATTTAAGTTAAGAAACTACATGATAATATCTAACGATATTGAATTGGGTCAAATTATAAATTGATAAAATTTTCATGACATATAAATATACAAATTATCGTAATTTAACTCTTATAGGTAAATATTTGGTTATTTTGTACCTGAGGGTTGGAATTGATGAATCCTACTAATCTTACTAATGTTATAAAGTAGAAAGTTTGTAGGTTAGGATATTGGTTACTTCTTCACGCGCAAACTACTAAACGGATTTTGATAAAATTTGATATGTGGGTAATTCAGCCTACACTTAACATATAGTCTACCTTTTATCTCACTAAATAGTTTCCTATGTACCGTCAATTCATTATGTAAAACATGCGATTAAAGTTGCGGGCGGAGCGCTAGTGTTAGAATCGTTGTAATTAATTGAAAAATTTTAACGTTACGTTTACGAAATTGAAAAGTTTTAACGTCTTTTGTTTCCTTGATTCTGCTGCTTTTATCTTGTTTTATTTTTGTTTTTATGTGCAACCTTAACATGAATTCAGAGGACTTTAACACCGTTCATTTTTATGGATAAGTTCAAACCTGTCTAATCAATTAAACTCAGGGGTCAGTAGATAGTAGAATAGACAATGAACTACATCTTTAATCAACTCCCACGTACTGATGTGATATACCTATATAATCCTTTTATATGATTAACATATTCAAACTTAACACCCAATCGGAAGAGAAATATCAAGTATTATTTGCATAATATATGATATTATTGTGACAATTTTTTATAAAAATATTCTATAGGTTGACAGTTTACATAGTTTTTTTTTTATAAATTTTCCAAAACATTCGTATGCTGTAACAGTGTAGAATAGAAAAATAGAAGCGTTATTTTATTTAACAAAAGTAAGTAGTTTATATACTTCCTAATAAGATATCTGCTAATAGAAAAGTACGTCAAAATGATGAATCAAGAAAATCGTAGCACACACCCGCCGCGCGAATGTACGAGTGCATGCATATACATAAATGTTTATTATTAGATTAGACAGAGACGGGCATAGAGGCCACTATTGATTTAGAAGAGGGGGAAAGAGAGGGCGCTACGCGTCACGCGTCGCATGCTGGACTGCGCACTACGTAGATAAGTACTGGCAATCGGCAAGGTCATTCGCTCAGAGTCCCGCCCGCCCGCCGCCTACCGAGTCGCGACGTGAAGCACGATTTAAATACGAATATAATGCTTGGTGAAAGTAACTAATGCGATTTTAGTCGACAATGACAACTATCGGAATTTGTATGCATTTGATAGTAAGCATTATAGGAATGGAACCTTACCTATTTAATATTGGTTACTATTGAAACAAAGACACTTCGCTATGAATGTTTTGCAAATATAAGAAAATATGAGAAACGACATTTTTCTTTACTGCCTACATTATTATTATTTATTGTAGTAGGAGCCGATTTTATATACGATAATAAGACAAATTCTTGAAATTTATAAAATTCTCTTTTCATATAAGCAATTATGATGGCCTGGTTGTAGTAATTTATGACTCAGGCTACAAAAATGCAGTCATGATTCCAAATTGTGTGAAACTTTTATATATTAAACATCAGTGAATATACCAATATTAACAAAATAACTGTGTCAGTCGATGTATTGTAGTGTTATTAAATTTAAAATAACTACTCTTCGAAAATCTGTTTATTCATCAAAGTAGCTGATAAGAAACAAAGTTTACTAAATCTGAACCTCATTATTTTAGATTTATATCAAGGCAAATAATTTAATTCTAACATTGCAACATTTAAAATATGCAAAAATGAATGTATAAATTACCCCATTAAGGTCCATCATTCGCTCCATTGCATACTTTAGTAGTTCACACAGCTTTCCCAATGAGATCTTTTTCATGGCTGGTGATCTGAAAATTAGAAATTTAAATGAAAATAACTGATTATCAATTTTTACATTTATTAATATTCAATTATTAAAATGCAGATACACTTTTATTATAAAAACAAATTTCATGATAATGTTGAACTCGTGGAATTTATCAAGAATTATCACTGCTTTATTTATTGTAATTAACTTTAAAAGTTATTTTAAAATATGTTATGATGAGTTTTTTGTCTGCATATTATAAACACAAAAATGTCTTATTCTGACAAGGAAAATAAATTTAAAATACAAGTTATAAATAAATAATGTAAATAACAAACCTAGTTTCTGAACTTTCGGCATGTAACACTGCCATGCATTCAGGACATACCCAATTCTTTTCAATGTTAATTTTGTTTCTTTCTAGTCCACTCAAACATTTATAATGGTAGACCCGTGGGCATACTGTGCAGGTCATTGGAGGGTGTGTTTTCTCATTAGGGGCCTGTTCTACAGCCCAATGGCACCTCCAGCAATATGGGTCTGAACGCAGCTTGCTAGTTTTTTCTTGAACCTACACAAATATGTAATATATAAATTTAGAAAACATTGACCACCAAAGAAATGGAGAAAAAATTATGCTAACCATTTTGTCATTTAATCAGTTATTAGAATTTTAAATTAATTTCTGCATGACATTTAGCTTGACTGGCAGCCATTTTGTTAACCTTGTTTTCAATAATGACAAAGAATTTGCAATTAAGAAAAAACAAATGATGACTACCTCCAATAAAATAGTTTTTAAAAAGATTAAAAATTACTATAAACCAATAAATACTTTGAATCCCTACTCATACTTACGACATTTTCCAATACTTTCTTCCTTTTAGGGGAACTAGACCTGTGATCGGACTTGCTGTCCTTACTTTTAGTGTCCTCTAGTTCTTCATCCGTCCCATCATCAGACTGCTTTTGTACCTTAGAAGTGACAGAGTTCAAAAACTGTTTTACCTTATTTACAAATTCAGGATTCTGAGACCTCATGGAGCGTTTCACAGCAATTTTATCAGACTTCTCGCTGCAATTGCTCTTCTGTGAATTATCACTGCTGCGTCTCTTATCGAGTATTTTATCTGCTTCAACAGACATATTGAGACTAGAGCTTGAAGTGTCTAAAGGAGCTCTAGACTTCCTAGTTTTGCTAGTCAATTGTGTACATTCACTTATTATCTTAGATTCTTTGGCAGAATTTATTAGTGATTTTAATTCCCTACTTATGCTTTTGTTATGTTCTTTCTCTGATGTTTCAGATTGTGTTTCTGACATTGTTTCATTTGCTGCTTCTTTATCTGTTGCTTCCATTTGGGAGTCAATACTTTTTTTATCTGATATGTCAACTTGACTTTGTTCAACATCTTCAAGTTGTCCATTCAAAGTTAACTTTTCAGGTTGTTCAGTCTGCTCTTCAGTTGATGTTGTTTCAACTGTTTCTTGAGATTCAGTTTCTTTATTACACTTTGTTTGGGGTAACTGTACTGGTTGATCTTTATCAGATGTAGACTGTTCTTGTTCTGGAGAAGCATGAGGAGTTATTTCAGAGTCAACATCAAGCTTATCATTCTTACTTAGTGTACTTATGGAGACTGGTGTTTTATCTGGTGTTTTCTGAGCCTCAATCTTACTAGATGAATCAACCACTGCTTCAGACTGATCAGGGGAAAGGGTAATTATCTCTGCCTTTTTTGAAGGGGTAACTTTGTGAGGTGACTGAGGTGATTGTGACTTGACAGGGGTTTTTTGGGTCTCAGTTACTTTGCTAGGAGACTGTGTAATATTTTGTAACAATTTCGTGGGTGAAATGTGAGGAGATATTTTCAAGCTTGTATCATCCTCACTAGACGCTACTGGCGGTTGTGAATGAATCTGTTGTGAGCTATTATCTTCCTCCTCCTCACTTACTTTCTCTACAATTACAATCATCTCTACATTACCATTAGATCCTGTCACCTCCTGGGTTTCAGATACATCCTCGGTAGTGGAGGACACATCAGTCTCCATGTGAACTTCAGAACTCTCCTCCATCACCTGTGATTGAAACATTTTTAATTAAGTATAGCATGACCACTGCAAGGTGGAATTCGGCATCAAATAGCTGGGTTATCATAGACATATACTAACAGTAGACGAACGAATATTGAGGGAACCGGTCATGTCATTACCCAAGCTTTGATACCTAGTCAGTTACATAGATACCTACTCTCAGTACATCCATACAAAACACACACCACGGTCTTACCTCACGTTGTTGTTCTCGCGAGATGATCGATGAAGGCACTCGTTCTTGCAAATCCTCACAGACAGTTCAACGTGAATACAGTTTATCATTCATGTAATATAAAATAAACTAAAAATGCAAGACAAAAATATCATTCACAAACGAAGAAAATCCCACTCACATCGCCATCGCAAATGTTGCTTACTTCACTCTTACATTTTGGTTGGCTACTTGGCAAGAAGTTGCCTACCTGCCTTTCGTCTCGTTTTAGTAAATACTAAAACCTCAATGTATTTAGCATTAGAGTTCAAAATTAAACAACTGACAGAAATCTGTCTCTCTTTTAACAAAAAAAAGAGGAGCGATCAGCATGAAGTTCGCGCAAGCAATGTATTTTGAATTGGTTCTGTGTACATAATTTGAGGAAATAAAATGTTATGGAAGTTTTTACAAATGTATTTAGATAATAGTTAAATGATTTTCGACACAAAATGTAATTAATTATGGAAAATATCTATCAAAACTAATTACATTTTTACTGAAATTCAAAGATAACTAAACGCATTGTAGAGATTGTATGTATTATTAGAGTTACCTACTAAATAAAGTAATCTTAAAAAATGGTAATTTGCTTACTAAGTGTAAGTAAAGATACTTCATTTTTTTATAAATAATTTTATACAGATAAACGGTTTCTATAGTTTAACAAACTTATCTTCTTTAGTATTGATGTCCTTTTCTTTATATTAATGTTATACGTGCGGTAGCATGTTTACAAATTGAAATTGGACGGTAGATATTTTTTTGGAAAGGGTTCTTTTGTATAATTCACGTTGAACGAACATTTAAACTTAAATTTAATATAGTCAGACATCGGGTAAATCAAAATTTGGTTAATATCAATATCAATTTTATAGGTATTAGGGGCGTTCTATTTTTACTTTAAAGTATGGAAAACTATAAATTTGTTGTTGGTATCCCTAATCATTTCAATGTATTGTTCTGTCACTGTCAAAAACTGTCAAAAATCTAAGCAAAAATCGGTGTGCAAGGATTTTTCAAAAATTAATTATTTTTCATAATATTTTTTTTAATAGAAATGGAATTTATCGAGCTTATATTAATAAATAAATTAGATGGCGTTATTCTAAAATATCCACACACCGAAAACGTAGACGGAACAGTATGTATAACTGGACATCATCTTATTTTAAGTTCAAGGAAGGAAGGCGTTCGCGAATTATGGGTAAAATAATTTATTTCCTAATCTTAACATACTTTTTAATAATATTTTAATTTTAACAACAACTACATATCAATACGTATAGAATAGAAGAACAGGATTTACATTTTATTTCAATCAAAAGATTTAATAGAAGGAGGAGTTCGTTACTTTTTGGAAGATACACATACATTTGTTTCTCAAACTAATTTATAAAAGTATTTAAAAGCATAATTCATTTACAATTTTGAAATAGCCAATTCATTGTTTTCAGCTTCTTCACAAAAACATAGATAGCATAGAGAAAAAAGAAAACAAGCCAAGTGGTGGTATAACACAAGGAGGTTCTCTATTTCTCAAATGTAAGGACCTAAAGATTTTCCAGTTAGATATTGGTTCTACTACAGAATTAAATCTTATGGCTCAGACCTTGGAAAACTTATCAAGCATCCAGGACCCTAGTCTTTTCTATCCATTCTTTTATAGACACATGCATCCAATTGTAGAGAATGGATACACATTATATAGGTAAGCAATAAAAACCCATAAATAACAGATTGGATGACTAACTTTTTCAGTAGTCTTTTAAGTAGGGATTTTTATTTATATATCAGGTTTATTATATGATTTTACTTTATAAAAAGAATCAATTTATATATAAAAAGTGGTGCCTGCAACTCTGTCCACATGGACTTCATGAAGTAGTTAACCAATGACTGAAAATTTACAGATGTTTTTTGTACACAACATTGGTTGTTTTTCCATCAGGTGCCAATATAAAAAAAACCCACAACACAACTGACTCATGAAAAATCTATCAAATGGAAAATGTTTGGGGATAAGTGGTATATGCAGTATTAATACAATTACACTTGTACTATAGCAGGTCAGAAACTGCTTCGATAAATTTCCGTGTATAACGGAACATGTCCATATAAAAAAAGAAAAAAAAAATATTCCTCTGCAAAGCCATAAGCTTAAGCCAAGTTCCATTGCATAACTTTAGTGAAGAAAGTTTATAAGTATTATGTGAACACTGGTTTCTAACTTCATTTTGTGAGTTGGTAGACCACTTGCTGTCAGTAAGTTTATTTAAAATTCAATCTCATAAATTGTAATATCATCCTGGACAATAACATTATTATAAGAATTGTACAACGCGTCATCCACATTAATTTGTGCAATAATATTTTTATTAATTGTGGCTGCTTATTATAACAAAATATATCCTTTTTTATTAGAATTCAGGTCTCCAAATACTGACTGAATTAGTTCTTCCTCCGAAGCAACAATTTTATCTAGCACACCACAAATCCTCACCTGGATGTTTCACATATGCAGAAATTTTTTTTTTCACTCATAAAGTATCGGCTAATTGGACTGTCGTATTGATAGTCAGTCTAAATATTTATAAATGTGACCAGGGGTATGAATTCTTCAATGAAACATTAATTTAATTTGCTCTTATTCCAATATTACAGGAAGAGTTTTTACAAAAATCTCCTGAGAAGAGACTTGTGAAGTGTCCCAATGGTCGATTATCTCGGTGAATATCTGATAATGTTCTGTTCCCAACTATGAGGGTTTTTTTATTTGGTCATGGTATGTTCGTCCCAAACGATTTGCCACCAATTCTGTACTTTTTGTCACAATTTCGCGTTATAGACGAGGTTGGTGTTAAATTTCTGTTTAAATCAATTAGGATTTTGAACATTGGGTGTACTGTCCTTCCACTGGGAAGCAATGCCTGAAGATGCTACTGCAAAAGCGATCTTATTTTGTCGCCTAATTCAGTCAGGATTGCTCTTGCAATAAATGTTTGTTAAGTGCCCCCCAAAGCTTCTTAGAAAAGAAACTACTACATTATTAGAGACAATGTGGACAACCTTGTTATACATTTCCCTTTGTTCAATAGTAAAATTTGAGATACTGTATCTTTAAATATTAAATATGGTGGCTTATTCTGTAGAACAGTGATTAGTTACAGCAGATATTTGCGGTTGTTTTGGTTCTAGTTGGGGTACAGGTAGACTGTAATCACTGAAAGATTTGTCTCTAATTGCAAAGACAGTTTCTGATATAGAACAAAACGAACTATTTAACACTCATCTGTTGGAGTTGGAGTTGCTGTTCTTTTTCAAAGTTTCGTAAAATGTCTTGATGCTTTTTTTATACTTTTCCCATATTCTTGAGGGATCTATAAGACCCAAAAATACCAACACTATTGTGAACAATTATTAAGAGAGTTATTAAGAGTGTTGTCCTAGTGTTGTGCTAGTGTTGGTTATTGTTAAGAAGGTGAAGAGCCATTGAAGTTGCTTGAAAAGTAGGATGCTCAAATCATCAACAGTTTACATAAAAGTAAATTACGTTAGTCCTTGAAATTTATGGAGCAACAGGTGCAAAACTAAAATTCTCCAATAATATGATAAACTGTGTACACTCTACCTTGAGCAGCACAGTGAAATGTGTAAAATCTTATAAGCTGATGGCGTTAAAGTCGGCGGTAAATGCTCATCAGACTGAAAAATTTTCGCTGATACGTCATGACTTTAAATGTAATAGTGATGATGAGCTCTTAGAGTTCCATATCAGATGTTTTAAATCTCCAAATTTTAATCATGTAGCAAAATATGCTCATCATGTGGAACAATTTTTGCTATGGCGCCATCTCTCATCTTTTTGTCGGTCTCTCAGGGTTCCATACGATGGAGAACAGCCACCAACATTAATTATAGCCTAAACAGTGCCGAGGATTGATAGCTTCAAAATAAAAATAAAAAATTAAAATCCGTTCAATATTTTCAAAGATTAGCGTGTACATACAAACAGACAGATAATAAATTTAAAATCATTGAGCCGTATTCTCTTGGTGTTTTAGTGTCGAAAAATATTTAATGTACAGGCACAATATTTTTTCTGTTTTATTAAAGTTTAGATAATATCACGAGTATTTTATTTATCTATACTAATATTAAAATAGGAAGGATTTGATTGTTTGTTTGTTATGCTAAAACTACTGGATCAATTAAAAATAATATTTTATCTAAGGGAAGCTACATCACATTGTGGGTGACATAGACTATAATTTATGCAGGCAAAGTTGCTGGAAAGCAGCTAGTACCTAAAATATATAATAATTTTATATTTATAGTATCTAAATGCTACCTATATTTAAGTACAGACTATTAAACTCAGTGGGTCCATGGCTTTTTTACTTGAGGAAAAAACTTTATGGGCATAAAGTTTTTTTTAATCACTAAAAGGTTAAGAGCCGATTTTTATGTAGCTCCTTTTTTTATTAATATTCTAGTGTGGAGGGTGAATTCACGAAAGTTCTAGCAACAGAGGAATGGCGTGTGTCTAGAGTTAACCAGAATTATTCAGTGTGCAACAGCTATGGCAAAGCTGTGGTCGTACCAAAGAGTATAGATGATGAAACATTGGTAGCTGCTGCCACATTTCGTCAGGGTAGCAGGTTTCCTGTACTTGCCTATCGACATAATAACGGGGTAATTTTTTAAAGATTTGCTCCTACAAACTATGTAGATATTCTTATGTATAATCTTTTGACGACCTCCGTAGCCGAGTGGTTCGCACGCCGGTTTCGAGGTGTCGCCATCTCTGAGGTACCCGGTTCGATTCCCGGTCGGGTCAATGTAGAAAATAAACTTTTCTATATTGACTCGGGTCTGGGTGTTGTGGTACCTTCGTTGTCTCAGATACTCCATAATACGGGGGCTTTAGCTACTCATCTTGGAATCTGAGCAATGTATGTGATGTTGTTAAATATTTATTTAATTTGTTTTACTTGAGGTCTTTTATTTTCATTTATTGTGTGCCAACAACACGCCCTCATGTTCAATTGTTTACAAGTTGTCAGTGTCATGGTTCAATGACATATTACACGTACATTACGATTGTATTGACAGTTTGTATTTTGGATATTAACTAAATGTTTAGTTCTATAAAATTAAATTCTTGGACCTAAAGCCATTACTAGATGACGCCAGTTGATTATTAATTTTTAAATGTGGCAAACACTTTGGACTGTTGTGTAAATAAAATTATTAGGTATGACCCGTTTAAATTAGCGAATCATTCTCCTTTAATTCGTCCAACAGGCTGTGTTGATGCGTGCAGGCCAGCCACTGTACGGACCCAAACACCGGCGGTGTAGGCCAGATGAGGCAATTCTCAACACTGTAGTAGCTGTTGGCACCAAAGGCGTCATATACGACCTGCGTAGCTCAAACTTAATATCACAGCAGCAAAACAAAGGTTAATATCTCATTATAATAAAGTTGCAGTGACTGGCAATAATCGGCAGTTTCCTCAGTCTATGTCGGTGAGCTAAACGCGTTTCTATTCAAATAGAAGAATTTTGTACATTCATCTAAAAATGCAGGTTAATGAATGTCAGTGCTTTAAAACGGAGTTAAGAATAAGAGGTGCAAAATAGAACAGCGAAAAGACGTCCTGAATGATTTAAAAATGCCTTTAATAAGTTTACTTCAATATAAAATAATATTTTCGTTTCAATCCAAATACTTTATTTTACAGGTGGTGGCACAGAAAGTAACTCTAACTATTCACAATGGAAAATTTACAACAGGTCTATGGACGATGTTGACAATCAGCAACAGTTACTTGAGAGTTATTCCAAATTTATTGAAGGTAATTTATTTAAACGAAGTATAATTACTTAGTTGTGTCCTCTGCTTTCTATATCAGGGGTTCTCAAACTTATTTCGTTTACTGCCACTTTTGGGAATAAATTATTTTTTAACGGCCCCATTTTTTCAACTACTTTAAACCACTGTAACATCAAATTAAATTCATTATTTTGGGCTACATTAGCGGAGGTTAAACATGCATTCTAAACGAGTCTTACTATAACCTACAAGAGTTACCTTGAGACCTGAGTGCAGTAGATAGTACATAAGTCTTTTGTTCTTCTTCAATCTTAAGTCTTCTTCAATCTTAAATCTTCTTAAGTCTCTACACAACGCTCCCATTAATATTTTTGGATCTCTTACCACCCCATTTAAGCTTGTAACGCTCACAAGGGGGCGTTATCGCCCATTTTGGGAAAAACTGTTCTAAATCATACTCTTTTCTATTATTATACCTTCTCTATAGGAATCATATTGTAGGTAGAACGGGCCGTAATACATCACGTAGGCCAAATGCGGATTGTTGTGTTTAACGGCTGCAGGTACACCCAAAGTCAACGTTTAACTTGCCTTGTGAACTACGGACATATAGTAAATTTTAGGTTACCCAATCAATAACCAGCCTTTGCGTTAGTTACTCAAGTTCTGCAATGGTCGACCGAACATGCTTAAAAATTGCGTCATTTTAAGACAACTCTATACAATTGCAAATTCTATTAATATCGACTTATTTTATAATATCGATATTAATAGCTTTGATCTTGCTTTCGAAGCGACCAGTGTTAAGCGACTTTCTTTCCAGAATTTTTAATTATGAAAATGGTGTGTATGGGTATTATAGTATCGATAATATTAATATTTATGCGATCGATATATTTTTAGTACTAATGATATATAACTATTAGTACCTCATGATTTCATAAATTTTGAGACGAAGTAAAAATTGCGTAACTTTTTTAATAATTAACATATATTTCTAACATTTTCAGTAACTATTAAATAGATAATAAAATATATATTTTGTTCAAAATTATAATTATTAAATTATTATTAATTATATATTAAAGCAAGGGCGGTCGGCTTTCTTTTTAATACAGGCCCTTAGACGATTTGGCCTCCCATTAATATTTTTGGATCTCTTACCACCCCATTAAAGCTTTAAGCTTTAAGCTTTAGACGATTTGGCCAGTCATCAAAGGCGGCACGAATTTTTTCTTGCAGAATTCGCTTTGCTTCTCGAACAAGGGTTCGCTTCAGTGACTCTCAAGTTTGGGTGGGACTTTTGGTAGACCCTGAGCTCTAATTCTATCCATGAAGGATAATCCAGCGGGTGGAGGTCGGGGCTTGAGGAGGGCAACTCATCTGCTGCGATGAAGGTCGGCACATTCTCCCTCAACCAAGCATGGCTACTTTTTGCCCTATAGGATGGCGCCGAGTCTTGCTGAAAAACCCAATCCTTATTGTGAAATTATGTATCAGACAGGGGTTTTACCACGGGCTATAAAATGTAACCTTGTGGGCAGAAATGGAGCGGAGTGACACGTTCATACGAAACTCCCCACCATACCATCACACTAGCCGAATGATGAGTGCGCGAAACATTCCGTGCAGAATCCTTGCTACTTTTAGCGTACAATTTATTGTTTTATCGGTTGAATTTTTCTTCGATAGTAAAAATTTTCTGGTCATCAGCAGCAATGGGCAACGTTTGCGTCGTAACTTACGAGGAAGATCTTTTAAAAAGTGATCTTTCCTACGGCTATAGGCTTAATACTTTAGCGATCTTGCGGAGAACTTGTCTGTTTGTCCTATGGCTTATATGAAAACTTTTCAGCTCGCAAAAAATCTGCATCGGTTTTTTTTCCCGCTTTAAATAGCGAAATGAGAGTTGCACGTAATTTTTTCGTTCCCTCCATCACGAGAAAATATTAACAAATGAATTTGTGATACAAATAAATTAAAAGTTAACATTCCAAATTCAAAGTCGGTAAAAAAAAATAACAGCCAGTAACGTTTTATTTTATTTTTTCAGCAAAAAGTTTATCTCAAAACTAATGAACACACGAGGTACGAGTATATACTAATGATACACTACTATTGATATAATAATGATTTATATGGTCACGATCTTTGATTGGAAACACTATCTGACTTTAATCCTGCACAGATGCGCGAGTCATAAGGGTTGAGTTACATCCGACACTCGGTATCGCTTTTTACCGCCCGCCCTATCCTTATCTGTCTCTCTGAATTGCCATTTGCTAGAGCGAGAAAAATAGTGGCTGTGCAATAGAAGACTACGGAATCCTTGAGGCGATAGGTAACACGCTTTCTTTCTCAATCTGGCAAAAACCGGTTCTGAGCGACAGCGAAAAATTGCGATAAAGTGCTGCCAGATGCTGAAACGTTCTAGCTAGGTATTTCCTTTTCCCGTTGGTGATAGAATTTTCATGTTCGGATCAGTATTTCCGAATATCCCTGCAAAGATACAAAAGTTAGAAACATTACCACTTTTTAAATTTACTAGCCGTTTTCCCACGACTTCACTCGCGTAATTTATAGCCTATGTTAGCCGCTTACGATGAAACTTACCGCAAGTGAAATAATTTAAGAAATCAGTCCAGTAGTTTTGAAACTTATTTGATGCAAACAAACAAGTAAATAATCAAATTAAGAAACTTTACCTCTTTATAAAATTAGTACTGATTATTGGAAATTAATACTTTACATGTATAACAGTAAAGTATTAGTACATATCAAATATAAAAGCAATAGTAAATACTAAAAAGTATAATTTTATTTTAATAATAGAAATGTAGATGGATAGCTATAGGTCTTGTTATACATATTAGGCGCACGCTAGTCGTATTTTTTAAATTCGTTATAGAAATTGAACCTTAATCGGTTATAATAAAGTCGATTATGATTAAGTGAATATTTTTGGATAGTAAAAATGAATATTTCATTTGTTTTAGTTTAAATTTTTGTAGATAATGTTGTATCTAAGATTTTTTAAATCAAATATCGCATTTGTGTTGATATTAATTATAATGACAGCATTATTTGTATCGATTAACAGCATGCAACGACCGTGAAATATCTAGTGACAAATGGATATCGAAACTTGAATCATGTGGATGGCCAGAGAGCGTCAGAAATTCGCTTCATACAGCGTGCATCGTCGCACAGCATATACACCAAGTAAGCTGTTTACATATTTACTCTACTAAATAACAAATACATTTGTTTTGCCATAGTGCCGCGCAAAAGTCGATATCGATATTTTATCGATTTATGTAGTAAGTACAGAAGGACCAGCCAGAACCAGCAGGATGCCACAACAGCAATTAAATCAATCTATTAATTTGTTATTGTTTTTAAGTTTATTATAACTAAAAACGAGTACTTTATTTTTATAAGTGGCATTAACTTTAAATAATCGATAATCAACATCAACATCAGCACTTTGTATCTTCCCCACTGCAGGGGTTCAGGCCTTCCTTATGGATGATTAAGGAGGATGGGCCATAACCCTCCACGCTGGCCCAATGCGGATTGGAGGGTATTAACGACTGCTCGGCTCAAAACGAGATAATACATTTTTGGTCACCCATCCTGAGACCAGCCTTTCGAAGGTTGCTTAATTTGCACACTGCAGACCGTAAGCGCTAAGCATTGCGCCACCGAGCTCTATAAAATAAATTATTATGAAAATAATTATGTAAGGCTGCATTTGATATTAAAATTACAGAAAGCAGAACCTGTCTTAATACACGGCACTAGAGGGGAAGATGCTACCTTACTAGTCTCTTCATTAGTTCAGGTCATCTTGAATCCTGACTGCAGAACCATCAGAGGGTAAGTTAGGTAGTTTTTTTATTACTTTATAAAAATTAAACTTTACCACATTGCTTTAAAAGGGAGGATGGCTTTTGTCTATCCATCAGGTAGATTATTGCAAATTACGACGACACATTGAATAGAAATGTCATATGACGTCATGCTTTAGTATATTTTCTACAAAGTTGTGACGTACAGAGTCCCCACTTTTCAAATTTAAGCCTTGTTAACTAAACTATTTCTTATTGAAGCAAAAAAGTAACTTTTATATTGTCTGTTTGACGGATTAAATAGTTTTTTTTTTTTTACCCAGTTAACATCTCTATTTCTGTCAGTTAGGATCAGTATGAACCGCCCACAAATAAATACACGTGCACAATCGGCCACAACTATAATTTACGTGTGTTTTACTTTTCCACGAGGCTTAGACGACTAACTCTTGGACAGTTAGACCTTGCAAATAGCTTAGGAATAACCAGGAATATGACACTCCCTTACAAGTGACAGCTGACATTTTACTACCGCCGTCGAACAGTAAACCCTGTAATTTGAAACGTCAATAGTGATGTAGTCAGGCAACCAAAGAAGGGGTTTAAAGTTGCTTAGCAACACAATTGTTGACTTTGATGAAAAGATCGAAAAAAAATTTTTTTTCTCATTTATAGTAGTATATTATGTTTGATATAAGTTTTAGAAAAAAAAAAAATGTTTCGATAATGGCCTATGGCTTCGAAAGGGAATTGTTAATGCGTTGAAAAGTACACTATATAGACAGTTTGATAGAAGAATATAAAGAATAAAATATGATTGTTGAATCGACAATAATGCTAGTGATATTGAAATAAACATTTAATTATTCTATCTACGTATGTTTCATTTTTTTTATAATTTCTAAGTGGAAAAATAATGTAGTTATACCTATATTGTCAGACTAATATATTAACATGAGCTACATCGCACTGACACGGACACAGTCAAAGCTAGTAATATATACATACAAAAAGTTTTTAAATGTATCAATTGAATAGTCTCCGTGAACAGTCTGCAGGCTTTAATAGAACGTGAGTGGTTGCAAGCGGGCCACCCGTTCGGTTCCCGTCAGCGGTGCGGCCCGTACGCGGCGGCGGTGGCCCGCGCCGCTCCCACCTTCACCCTGTTCCTGGACTGCCTCAGGCAGTTCCTGGAGCAGTTCCCGTGCAGCTTCGAGTTCCGGCAGTCGTTCCTCATTACCCTGTTTGAACACTCATACGCGAGTCAATTCGGTAATTAAGTGTTGTATTCGTTACTAAAGAACAAAGATGTCTACCGCCCCCCCCCCCTCTTTTTAAACTACTGATATGGAAATTAAAGTAGAAAAAATATTTCTATAAAAAACGTGCCCCAGAAAACCGATACACTTTTGAATTCAATCCAATAATTAGAACAGGCATTACTCCAAATTACTGAATTAAATAAGTAACAATGACTAACTCAGAGTTAGTCATTGTTACTTATCTTCAGAGTGTCAATGTTATTTCTAATAATTACCTAAAAGTCTGTACACTATGACGAATCCACAAAGAATGAGGACAGACTGCGGTCTGCAATAGTATTTAAAGTGGATAGTATTGCTTTTATGGGTTGCCTCATCCATGAAGGTGGTATTTCCAACTGTTTATCGAGCAACTCTTTTTAATATATCATAATGACCTTCTTCCTTTTTACGCAAACATCACCAATACTCGATTTCCGAGTCTTAAAACTCGAAGTTGTAACACTTAATTTTACCCTTATATTTACCCTTACCTCAATCGTTTTTTTTTTCTGCGCATAAACGAATATAATTAAACATTTTTGTTTGGCATTATATTGACAGTAAAGGACGAACGATTCAAAAATGATTTCAGGTACATTCCTCTGTGACACTGAACAAGAGCGAGAATCGCGCGGTGTCCATCGTCAAACGACCAGTGTTTGGTCGTGGGTGAATCAGCCGGACGAGATGCCGAACCATCTCAATCCACTGTACGACCCCACACCTAACGTTATATGGCCATCTGTGGCCCCAATGAGTTATGTCATCTGGGAAGGTAATATTGCTATCCAGTCCATTTACAAAATAACTAGTTATAAAATGTTTGATTTACACTTAATAAAGCTTAACCTTAAAAATTATATGATACCCTACGTAGTTGAGTGGTCCACGCACCGTATTCAAGGTTTCGCCATCATCAGAACCATTCGGTCGACTTTTTATAGAGATGATTTTTTATGTAATGTCTCAGGTCTGGATGTTGTGGCAAAGATATTTAAGACTGTAGATACAGCCATGGCCAAACTGCTTAACGTGCCTTCCTTAAGATAGGCGATAAATTAAGCCGTTGTATGTACCATAGTAGGTCATATCTATATTATGATATCGCACGCCAAATGTTATATATAAATTTTGGCATTCATGAGTTACATCATCCGGGAACTTCTGTTGATTACGTTTTGGGATTCCATACATTGTCTCCTAGTGTAATGATAATTTATCAACTGTTATTTTGCCGTTTTGTTAAGGAAAAGGCGATGGTTCTTTAACGTCTTAGTAGTCATATCATCAGCATCATCATCATCACCAGCCCTTTTACGTCCCCACTGCAGGAGCTCAGGCCTTCCTTATGGATAGTTAAGGAGGATGGGCCATGACCCTCCACGCTAGCCCAATGCGGATTGAAGGGTATTAACGACTGCAAATGCAGCCGGGGCCAATGGCTTAATGTGCCTTCCGAAACACGGAATAGCTCGAGATAATAATTTTTTGGTCATCCGTCCCGTGACCGACCCTTGCGAAAGTTGCTTAACGACAACGATCGTGGGCCGCGGCGCTTATCCACTACGCCACCGAGCTAATCAGTAGTCACATAGTTCATTAAATTGATTTAGAATGACGTTTGCAGAGCTCTACCTACGCTGGTTAATAGAACAACATACTGAAGTTCGCGAAGAACAGTACAGAGCTATACGTACTCGCGAACAACAACTTCGCTCTCAAGCGCAACAAATGAGGAGAGAATTATTAGAGTTGGCACAACAGTATTACTCTGAAGACAAAGTATTAAAGGACAAATAGCCAATAGATAAATGGACTTATTAAAGTGTCTGTGTTATTATAAAGGCTTCTATGATAATACGGACAATGTTACTATAGGTAATAACAATAGGTGTTGCAAATTGCGTCAATAATTCAAAGTGTTATATTAGTATGGATACGCCCTTGCCATTCTAGAATTAATTTATATCCAATTTAATAAAATAAGTCACAACTGTTTAGAATCGATATTATAAAAGTATTTAATCAGAGATACAACTTACACAAGATAAAAATGGGGTATGGAATAATAATAAAATACATGGGAATGATGGAATGCTTATTATGTCGAACGTTACACTTCAATCCATTGTAATTTCTCTAAAACAATTTCAAAAACATGAGCGTTACTTTTCTAGTAATCATTGTTTATGTATATCTATTTCCAATGGATTGGGATAGATTTGAAATTAGACAATTGGGTTTTTTTTCAAAGCTATTATCCCTTTTTCACATTATTGTATATTTATTAATTTAAGCCCGGGGAGGTCACGAGTAGCTAGATGAATCGGGGCGGTGGGGTTTTAAGTCCGCCTCGGAAGCGGATTTTAATATTTTTCGTTTTTTATCATGTTGGGTTTACAGTATGAAATTCTACAAAAAGTTAGTAAGTTCTATCTTCAAATGAAAGGTGTTTAAGCACCATACATCAAATAAAAAGGGTTGCCAGTTTACGCTTAGTAGAAAAAGAAATATTCAGTCAAAAAATGCAAGCAAAACTCTAAATAAATTATAGTCTCTTATTCTTATTCAATAGTAAGTTTATATTTAGTATAAAAAAGGATCGAGTAGATATTTCGCCCAGTGTTACCTTAAATAATACACCAAATAAAAAAATGACAAATTTCAAACTCATACCTACGTAGAACACTTTCATTTTGAATATCAAAAGAACATGTTTTCTCAATAATCTAAAAGTACAGAAAAATATATTTTACGCATTAAATATCGTTGGTACCTACACAAATGGTCCATATATACACGCTATAAAGATCCCGAATTGTCAAGTCAAACATTATAAACCAAATGTTACCATCAAAAAAAGCGATTCGTTTCTGGCACTTCGCCGGCCGCTGCCGCGGCACGCTCGCTACGCTCGCTCGGCTCGTGCGCTGTTTTTCATACACTAACCTAACCTAACCCATATGTCATAATAAACCTATAGAAGTTTTTGTTGCTTTACTTATTGTAAAGTTCTTGAGCATAAACGAGTCGCTTGTGGAATCGGAGCGGTGGGATTTTAGGTCCGCCTCTTGTTATGTTTACAGTTGGAAATTGCCTAGAAAAAGTTAGTGAGTTCTATCTTCAAATGAAATATGTTAAGTATACAAAGCTCCATACGTCAAAGAAAAAGGGTTGCCAGTTTACACTAAATAGAAAAAGAAACATTCAGTTGAAAAACGCAAGCAAAACAAAAATAAAATTTGGAATAGATCGGCTTGTAGTCATTTATTCTCTTATTCTTATTCAAAAGTAAGTTAATATTTAGTTAATACAGATATTGGAGTTTTAAGACCGCCTCTTGTTATGTTGGGTTTACAGTAAAAAAATTGCCTAGAAAAAGTTAATAAGGTCTATCTTCAAATAAAAGATCTTTAATTACGCAAAACATCATACATAAAAAAAAGATTGCTAGTTTACACGCAATATAAAAAGAAGTATTCAGTTGGAAAACGTAAGAAAACTTAAAATAAAGGTTGTATACATCGCCTTGTGGTCTTTTATTCTTATTCAATAGAAAATTTCCTAAAAATCACAATATAAAAAAAACTGTTTTTATCATCCGGCAATACTTCAACTGAATACATTTTTTTTCTGTAAGTAATCTGAAAAATGTTATCAATAACGCCAAAATCTGCTCTATAAAGTAAAAACCGTGAAAAATGATACATTTTCTAGCACACTTATAAGCACATTTGGTCACAGTTCCTTAACCGATTGACCAGGTCTCCATTTATTATGGCTGGCTTCGCTCGCTTTTTCCTTTTGTTTTTTTCGCAGATCTAATCTAACCGATTGACCAGGTCTCTATTGATGGTGTCCTTTATGGCTCGCTTCGCTCGCATTTTATTTTAGTCATAGTTCTAACCCTACCAATTAACCATATCTCTCTTAACAGTTACTCCTTATGGCTCGCTTCGCTCGCTTTTTGTTTTAGACACGTTGCTAACATAATCGATGGTCTCTCTTAATGGTCTAGCATTATGGCTCGCTTCGCTCGCTCTTTATTTTGGTCACAGCACTTTAAGCAATTGACCAGGTCTCCATTTTTGATGGCTCGCTTCGCTCGCTTTTTGTTTTAGACACGCTGCTAACATAATCGATTGATCAGGTCTCTCTTAATGGTCTAGCATTATGGCTCGCTTCGCTCGCTCTTTATTTTGGTCACAGCACTTTAAGCAATTGACCAGGTCTCCATTTTTTATGGCTCGCTTCGCTCGCTTTTTGTTTTATTCATAGTTCTAATCTAACTGATTGACCAGGCCTCTATTGATGGTGTTCTTTATGGCTCGCTTCGCTCGCATTTTATTTTAGTCACAGTTTTAACCTTGCCAATTAACCAAATCTCTCTTAATAGTTAACCTTTATGGCTCGCTTCGCTCGCTTTTTGTTTGAGTCACAGTGCTAACATAACCGATTGATCAGATTTCTATTGGTGGTGTTCTTTATGGCTCGCTTCGCTCGCATTTTATTTTAGTCACAATTTTTACCTTACCAATTAATCAAATCTCTCTAATTGGTCACTTTTTATGGCTCGCTTCGCTCGCTTTTTGTTTTAGTCGCAGTTCTAATCTAACCGAATGACAATTTCTCGCTCACTTTATTTTTCTGGTGAAAATATTGGATTTTTTTTTCTCACCACGTAAAGATTGAGTAAAGATACAGAAACGGTTTATATATGCAAAGCTTCCGAGTCACCAACTCAGTCAGAATCATTTTGAAATTAATATGGTGACTACTATCAGTGTTGCTAGAACTCAAATTACTCCATCAATTATGTTATAAATGCAACAGTAAAAAATTTATTAAACAGTAAAATCATTGTAAAAAAATATTTTAATATTTTTCATCAATGACATGTTTACCGTTTTTTTTTCATCTGGCAACACTTCAGCTGAATAAATATTTTTGTTAAAAGTATTCCGAAAAATGTTATCGAAAACGCCAAAATCAGCTCTATAAAGTGAAAGTCGTGAAAAATGATCAATTTTCTAGATAAAATGGTCGCTGTTTAAGTCGCCATCTTGAATTTTAAAATTTCAACCTCAGATCTATGTAGCCCATCTATTGGCGCATCCAACGCAGTTTTTATTATTTTCCTAGCGGCTATAATGACTGCGCTAGAGTCCAAAACGTGAATAGTGGGCATTGAACTTTCAAACCGCCGTAGGTGCCGGGGTTGCCAGATGTAGGCGATGAAAACAGTCAAATGTGATTTCGGGACGCGCCCTCCATCGTCGGATACCAATTTTCAAGTTCTAAAATTGTTCCTTTGACATTTACAGTTTTTGGGGTAAATCTCAAAAACTACCCTAAAATCGGGTAATTTTTTTCCACCACATGAAAGTGTCTATAGAGATACACAATAGCTCCATATATGCCAAATACCTGCGGGGTTGCCAAGTCGGTCAAAATCGAGGTTGAATTTCAAAGGTTGTTTGCTACCAGTGTTGCCAGTCGATCGTTCTATTTTTTCCATCGGGTATCTTGAAAAGTTAAAATTAAAATATTTGCATCAAAAAAGTTCAAAAATTCGACAAAAATTGTTTCCTCAAAAATCTCATAAAGTATCAAAAATTTTCGAGATTTTTTTTCACCTGGCAACACTTTAGTTACTTGCCTAAAAATTATTTCCCCGGAAGTACTCTGACAAATGTCGCCAAGTGCGTCAAAATCGGCTCGACGTGGTGACGATACCCAATTTTTCGGATAAAATGGCCGCTGGTTTGGCCGCCATCTTGAATTTTGAAAATCCGGCTCCGTACCGGTGTGGCCAACTCGATAGCGCATCCGATGCACTTTTTACCATTTTCTTAGTGGCAATACTGACTGCGCTAAAGTCGACAAAGTAAAAAATGGGCGAAATTTTTCAAATCGCCGCTCCTACCAGGGTTGCCAGGTGACGACGTTCAAAATGGCCAAATGTCATTTCTGAGAGTGCCCTCCGTCGAGGAAAAGCATTTTTAAAATTCCCAAACACCTCCTTCTACTTTTCACCTTTTTGGGGTAAATCTCCGAAAGTACCCTAAAATCGGGGAAAATTGTCACCTCATAAGAAAGAGCCGGCGGAGACTAATAACCGGTCCATACAAGGCAAAGAGCTCCGATGTTGCCATGTGAGCTAAAAGTGCGTTTGAATTTTTCGGAAAAGTGAAAAAATCACAAAATGGCCGCTGCCGGCGCCGCCATACTGATTTTCCCGAGTTTCATAATTTTCCCATAGTCACGACTATATTTGGCGTGACACCTCATTCACAGATTTTCTCCGCTGGTCACCCAGGTTCCCAAACAATTCGGGTTATGAGGGCATGTCGAAAAACACGTTTTCTACCGTGGAGCCCAGGGTTGTCAGCTCGCGAAAACGAAAACTACCAAAAGTCATAGGGCTCCCCCGGCACCACACCGCACCGAGTCTGTTTTCCGCGAAAAGTGCGTATTTCGAAATTTCACTTTTCTCCCAAAATCTCATAAACTACCACGAAAATGGTAGAAATTAGTACTAATATGGAAAGATCCTACCGAGCCCCACGACCGCCCCATATAAAGAAAACCAGTACATTGCCGCCATCTTGGAGAAAATCTCACTGGAAAATGGCGATTTCTCAATGCCGAAACAAAATGGCCGCCCCCGCCGCCGCCATGTTGAAGCGCAAATGAAAACTTCCCACACGTTAAAATCGACTATATTTCCGAATCACCAGTGAAAAGATCCCCCCTCCAAACCTACAAGAAAAGAATTCACGATCGCCCGAACAGAGGTC